TAATTGGAACTCAAAATATGATTAGCATTTAACATCGTACCAAAGAAAAGGAGGCATGCATGGAGAGGAAGAAGAGAAAAGAACAGGTTAAAGCCAGTGATCCAGAGAGAGGACACGTGTGTGTGTGTGTGTGTGTGTTATTATTTTTTTGGGGGAGGGGGGTGTGGAAAATGGGCATAATGATGAGAAGAATATTATGGTGGGGGGATGTGAAAAATGAAAGGGGAAGGGAGAGGGAAGAGTGAAAATGATGGTGTGTGAGTCGCAGATGTGTCAAGAGCAGTGGAGGTTCGACGCAGCTTCTTGTGTTGGTCTGTTCCTCCTTCATCAATTCCCAGTTTTTTTTTTGTTTTACCATTTCTGTATCATTGCTGTGGACCCCCACTTTGATTTCAATCCCCACGATTAACACTTTCATTATTGCTCCGTCCCATCGTACTATGTCCTTAATCACTCCCCTTCAGCACTTTCTTTAGTTTAAAGGATAACACTCATTAATGGTCACAAATTATTATCAGTGAAATTAAACTCAATCTCATAAAAAGTTGTTATACTACTGCTTCCCATAGTTAATATAAAAACTATAAACAACTACTTTAAAAATATTTAAAAATTATTTAAGTTTATTATTTGTCACATGATTTTCGTAAACTATTTTATTTAATAATGTGCATCGAAGGATTAGAATTATCCCTTTGGTGGAAATCCTTCGCTTGGGAATCAATAAGGATTTTTGGAAAAAAACATAGAAGACAAATTATATTAAGATATTATATTTATGATCAAATTCAACTTTAATTAATTCTTGTATTAAGCATTCTTTTAGTTCTTAATATAGAACCTAATTATCAAATTAGTTTTGGTTCTAAATATAAAACTTATTTGTCATATTTAACAATTTTTTCTAAATTTTTCTTATTGATACTATATCAACCATAATCTAAAAGAGAGGATATTAAAAAAAGATGATTATGATGTTTTTAAAAAAGTTATATTTTTATAATTAACTAATTTATTTAATTTTTTTAATTTAATTAAATTAGTTAAATAGGTATATCCAGAAACTATTAGGTTTAAGATTATTGGCAAGCGCGTTCATCCTTGATAGCCTCTTTCTTACGCATCCTCATCGTGACCCCGTACGCCCACGATACTTTCCTCCCTGTGATTATGAATCTGTCTTCATAATCAATTATCAAATTTAATTGGACGTGCGGTTTGCCAGTGCAGCTGGTCATCTGCTTAGATGACAAAAGCTATCTACGCAGGTCAGGTGATCAAGATTAATTATATAACCATTATTTATTATTTATGAGCAGTGTCCTCTGTATATTTTTTTATATTTTGTATTTAAATTTCATCTTAAAAACTAATTGACTAATTTATATAGAATCTTTGTAAAAAATGTGTAATTTTTCTAAAATTCAGAGTATTATTGACATGAATTATGCATTATATAAAAATCTACCTGTAAGGGCAGTTAAAGGAAAAAAATGTACAATATTAGATATTGAAGTTTTATTTTCAGAACAAAAACAAACATTTTAATTAATTTTTATATTTAAAACAAAAGCGAGTAAGCTAGATGTGTGGTAAAGCTCTACTCAGCAGAGCGTGGTCCGAGGGGTCACATCTTGAGAACCTCGACCATCAAATTATTCGATATTCGAGTTTTTTAGTACAAAAGAAGAGTTTTATACGAACACCATCTTGCAGAATTTTGATGGGCCAGTGGATCTTGTTCATTTAGACATTATGGGCAAAAGGTCATTTAGCGTCAATTAGGCAATTCCATAAAATCATGCGACAAAAATATACTTTAGCTTGTCACTTTAATTTTGTTTGAGTTAAACAAATAAATTAATCAAACTTTGGATTGTAAAAATTATATAAAATTTATAAATGAAAGCAAATGCTTTTTATTAAAAAATGACAGAAGGTTACATCAATTAAACACGGACCTCTATATACATGTGGGCCAGTCCATGAGGCTTGGTTGGTCTAATTTAGTCTTCATATTATCAATATACATATACATATATATATTCTTTCGATTTTTAATATAAGACTTATTTAACTAATTTGATTAGATTAAAAAAGTTAGGTAAATTAGTTGATTATAAGAAAAGTGACATATTTTTCTTAAAACACCATAATCATCTTTCTTAATACCCCTCTCCCTCTTCTATTTGATTATAGTTGAGAGAGTATCCATAGGGATAATTTAGAGAAAATTGATAAATATAAGAAATTGATCTTATATTTAACACCAAAATCAACTTAATAATTAGGTCCTATATTAAAAACCGGAGGATTATTTATTTATAAATTTGATTTCGCAGTCCATGCACATTCATGTTATTATTCCGTGCTCCAAACTGTTGTTTGCAGAAGCTTGGAACTTGAAATTTCTTGACACGAATTATTTGAATGAATATTTTAGATTCTCTGCACAGAAGATATGAAGCATTTAAAAAGAATGAATATATCAATAGAGAACTGAGTCTTCTCTTCTAAATTAAATTTCATTCTTTTTTTATATTATGAAATATACTGAAGCTGCTAATAGTAAACATGATTTTCATCAACGAAGCAATTAATCGAGCATGTGTGTGGGGTGGCTACGTGGTACTACCTCCGGTCCTTAATATAAGACCCTGTCTGACTTTTATTTTAGTTTTAAATATAAGACCCCAATCTATTTTGTCTCTCATATTTACTCAATTTCTTCCAAGATAATCCTTCTAATAATTATAGTTCTAGTTAATACATTTGATTAGTAAGGATATTTTAGGAAAGACAATACCTATTTAGGACAAACAACTAACTCAACTTACTTCTTTAATTTTTTTAAATTAGTCAATTGGCTCTTATAATTAAGACCGGAAGTAGTATTTAGTTGACGACACAATCAAACAAGGAAATCTGATAAGGTGATGGGTTACCTGAAAAAGGTCGTTATGCTTATCCGATCCGAAGGAGTTCATGTGGCTGGAGGCGACAATTTGTATCTAACAAAATTTGTTTGTGTTTATATTATTCCTTAATAATTGTTCATATGCCAGGATCAGCTTCATGTGGCCGGTTTCGATCTCATAATTCCATCAACTATTTGATTCAGAATATAATATTCATCACCCAGAAGAATACCAGCACTAACTATATGTTGTGATTGATTATATATGGTACGGCTTCTCATCTCAATATCACCGAAAAGCTAATCTCTTATTATTGCTTGCCGTGTAGCTTATATATCTTTAATTAAAATGCCACATTACCGAAAGTTAGTAGGCTCTTTTTTTTTTTTGGGGTCTTGCACTCATTAATATCCAAAAGCAAAAGGTAATACTCCTCCGATCCTTATTATAAGACCCAATCCATTTTGTCTCTTATATTTATGTATTTTTTTCCAAGATAATCCTTCTAATAATGATAGTTTTAGCCAATATACTTAATTAGCAAGGATATTTTAGGAATGACAACAATTATTTATTATAAATAACTAACTTAACTTACTTCCTTAATCTCCTCAAATAAGTCAATTGGGTCTTATAATTAGGACCGGAGGAGTAATTGAGGATCAATATTGCTTCAATTCATTAACAAGGGGTGGGGGAATGCTGCAGTTTTGTGCTTTTACATGATATGTGCTGGATCATTATATAGTGAGAGAGATAACTAATAATACAACCACCATCACCGTCAAACCCTTTTAATTTACCAATATAAAGGTAAAATTTAATATAATCTCCAATCATTAATATAAGATTTGCAAACTAGATATTATATTAAGAACTAAAAGCATTGTTTATAATTAGTCTTTATTATTAAGATTTCTCATCATTTCAAGTTCAAAACTCTAGTTTCTCACTGCCCATGTAATGAAGCCTATTGCAAGACTCAAATATAATAATAACTTCATTCATGTGGGTAGATATTTAAATATGAGTCACATTGTTTATACTTTATAGCTACCAGACAATACGGTAGCCTACTTTAATTACAATTTTTATATGACGCGTAGCATTTGACGCCATTCTCCTTATTTTAAGGAAGCCTCAAAATTAAATCTCATTAGCTACGTTATTGTGGTCTGGATTTGATGGAGTTTAGCGGGATTCCTTTTTAACAATTATGCTATTTTGAGAATTGGGACCGAAGTTATTTTTTTTGTTAGGATGTTTAGTCTTATATAAATATCTATCTGGTCCTATTTATGAGTCACTTCTAACATGTTTTAATTTATACAGACAAAAAAAAAACCTTAAACTTTATTAACTCTAATTTAAAATTTAATAATTTTTCAACTTTATCCCTATTTAATATACATTATCCCTATTTATATAGTGAGCTTATTTGTTTAAGATGAAATTTCATTAAAGTCCGAGTATGTCTCCTCCTAATTGAAATTGTAATCAGGCTCGCCCCGTTTAATAAACAAATTGAACTCAAATATTTTTATATATTAAATAAAAATAATAATTTTGGCTTGAAAACAGGTATCAGGACTTACAAGGATTTATCCCAGCCCATACTTCGAGACTTTTTATCCCCGCCACAAATAGTACTCTATATGAGTAGTCAGGTTGAGAGGGAGGCAAACATCAGTATGTATTTATCGCTTGGATTGAGAAAAAGAAACAGAGGCAACTCGCTCATCAAGCGGGGATAGCTCAGTTGGGAGAGCGTCAGACTGAAGATCTGAAGGTCGCGTGTTCGATCCACGCTCACCGCAAAATTTTTTTCCCCAGCCGCACAGAATCGAGCTGCTCCGAAGACCGAAATGCTGCCGTTTTATAAGAAATTCACGCTTACGGCAGGCACTCAGTAAGGCGGATGCATGGAATGGGGCAGATGGGACGTCGCAGCCTGTCAAATCCTCTGTCCCTTGATAGAAACAGAGCTCATGAGGTAATAACGACTTCAATCTTTACTTGAAGACTAGTAATAGTAATCTGCATTCTAAATGAGATTCTATTTCTTCGACTCCTAACAGAACATATACAATCTGAAAATACGGATTCTTTTACCTCAAGAAGATACCAATTAATGCTTGTTGCCTTCGGGACTGTGATTCACATGCATCATAGGATACAACAACATATACACTAGACTCCTCAATACACTACGCCGTCCTAAAAGCCTATCACTGTTTACAACCTATAATTCCCCCACCATGTAAATAAATAAAACACTGCTAGATTTACAATTCCTTTTCCTTCACCAACTTGTCCTGTGGAAGCACCAAACTTATTTTCGTCTCATAATATGAGGAGGAGAAAGCTCCTGAAAAGGCAGCACACAGTCCATGATACTATTCCTTTTTCCCTTTTCTTGCCTTCAGATTTGTTGTACTTGAGCAAAGAGAGTTTACAGAATATGTGCTATAGTCCTCTTGAGCTTATCTTGCCCCACCAGTTTTGACAACTAATTTCTGCTTCTGGACTGCCTGTCTTAGAAAGCCTGGCTTTTGTTTCCCGTAATCTTCCCTTGTATTCTTTCTTCCATCCTTCAAATCGGCGTTTAAGCTGCCGGAGTTCTTCGCTGGGATTCATGTGAGCTGGTTGCCCTGATCTAGCCGCGAGTAGAGCTTTGGCATCATCATCAAAAGTCTGTTTCCGCTGCTCAAATTCTTTCATCAGATTGCTCACTGCGTTGAAAGTATCAGTAGCCTCTTTCCTTGCTCCATTCGCATAAGGAGTGCTAGGAAACTTGATAGGTGTACTGCCCGCGGGTGTTCTGGATTCCACGGAAGTAGCATCTTCGGAGTCATAGAAGCAAGGTGACATAGCATCGCATCTTCCAGGTTGATCAGTGGAATTCTCAGCAGCAAGGCTCCTCCTAGCAACGGAAAGACTCTTCTGCATTCAAGCAGAAACTGCTTTCTCAGTATCGGTTCTTTTTTTGTATGATCAATGACAAATTTAAAGCTAAAAGCCTTGAATCATCTCATAATCAAAACCAATTCATTATTAGGAATTCTAGTGCACAGGTGTCTTTACAATGACAGGGACGAATGTGCAATTTTATTCGGTGATACAGGGGATGGTGAAAGAGAATCATCATCACAAGTAAAGGTGTGATTAGATTTAAAAAAAAAAAACGCATCCATTTAGACGACGGTATTATGGAAGCGTATGCCAAAACTTGAAGACTTGCATAGGCTTTAAACTTACTTGTAAAGATGTCATCTGTTTTTGCCACATCTGTTCCATTGATTTCATCTTCATCTCGTACTCAATCCACCTCGTCTCAAATTGTTTTAGTTGTTCCTTCAACGCAGTATTTTCCTCTTCCTTTTGCTTCAGAGTTGCTTCGGCTTTGACAACCCGGTTCTGGAGTTCTGTCAAAGTTGATGGCAGATTCTGAACTTGCTCTTTATTCAAATCCTGTCAAACCAATAAGGAGATCTTTTATCAGCTTGAGTAGTCCACAGCTATTTGTAAACCATCATCAACCAGGATATACGATTTGCATAGCCCAGATTCTTTTAAGGGGCCAATGACGAAGACATGATTATGTGAATCTTTTGATTCTTTCCAAGAAAAAGTGGGATAGGTTTGAAAAGGAGATATAAATGTGGACCATAGCTTCATTGAAATTACATCGAAGGAAAAAACCGGAATTTAGTGCATTTTCAGGAAATATAAGAGTGCAGAACAAAGTACCTTCACTTCTGACATCTTAAAACGTGACTTTTGCTTAGCTTTAGCGTTTTTACTATCTTTCTTCAACATATGGAGGAGACTACTAGCACGCCTTCGAACCAACCACCCCCGGATCACTGCGTCAAAACGAAAAGACTGATCATAAAACCATACGCAACCCACTTCCCAATTGTAACTTGAGAATAATCATAACTACACTAACCAGATTGTAAGCGTGTGATTGCCTGCGTCTGCTGAAGCTTTTCAGAAGCAATAGATGCAGACTTCATCGAATGATATGTCTTTCTCACAATCTCTCCACGAACAACTGCAATGTAACCCAATCAGCCATTACAAAGTATAAGCAAGAATGTGGAAAATGCTAAAACGAAAACAGATCAATTGTTTGCAGCAAGAATTTGAGCCATGGATTCAGGCAGAGAGCTTTTAAAGAATAACTAAGGTCTTCAAAAACATCAACCCAGAAATGAACATAAATAATTCTGATCAAAATGAAATTATTGATAATAGACTTTTATTACTTGATTGTAAAGCTATTGCTCCATTCTTGAGGACATGAAAGTTGCGGCGAGCTTGATGACCACGTAACCATTTTTGAACCCCAAGTATTCCCAGTATAATCTGTTTCCTCCTATCCTCCAGGACACCAATCTGCAAATCCAAAAAGCACACAAGAATAGTTAAATGAGGGATGCTGGTACATGAATGAAACTGTTTTGAAATCAAACACATTCATGATTCATAACAGATGCATGATCGGTGAAACAAATAGTTTATAGCTTTTTTGCATCATGTCAAATGGAATGTCAAATCAACCATGATGATCAGCTCATGGTACTCTTTGACTTTCAATTCAACAAAAAGTCTACATATTTATCTCTTAAGAACAATTTTCAGGAGCGACAGCATGAACTTTACATTTTATCGACATGATTCAGGAAAAGTTCATAAAGAGAAAAAGAACAAAGCAGTTCTTCCGACCCACACATAATAATTGGACGTACCTGCCCGGTTCGGAGATACAGTTTTGTGTAGCCGACTTGGTACATTTCAGGAGGGATGTTAAATTGTTGTAAAACGGAAACTGAGATGCTTAATGGATCCTGAGATACGCTGGCCTCGGAAAGCAAAAACCCATACCTACATAAATTCAGGAATGTAAATGCACCTGTCATTTAACATAATCTAGAATACTTAAGGAGGTTTATCCAATACCTTCTGGCAAACTCTTGATGCATCATACGAGTGGGATATCCAGCCCTTGAAATTCTAACAACCTCCAAAACTCCACAACACCTGAGCTGTTGTAAGACAAGGTCCTCATCATATATTCCAGCCAGGTGCTTAGTATTGGGCTTTATGCAGCGAATGAAGTGAGGCGTGGTGCCCTCCAACTGATTCATCAACTTGAATAATTGGCCCTAGGGGAAGAGAGAGAGATTAACGTTATTTTCTTTCCAAAAAGTTGAGAGAGTTTACTTGTTTAGTTTTAATATTCCTAAAATCCTTACAGTAAACGTTTTCAAATGATGTGCAGCATAGACTTCATTTTTTGTTATGATCTCCCACTTTATTAAATGATTGGTGACTTCTGTAATAGGTGGAGACACGATATATAATCTCCTCAAATATTACTGTATATAACCAGCTTAAGGAATACCATAATGCTACCTTGAACTTTGTCCCAACACTCTGCTTTTGTGAACCCGAGGCACCTACGTGGGAGGAATTTGACAGCTTAGATTGATCAATCATTTTGGAGAACAACTGCAGCAGTTGACAATTACATGATGACAGGAGCTTGAGGGAATCTGGAGGCAGCGGATCTCTGTTCTTTTCTAGGAATCCATTTGTGTCGTACGAAACCTAAGTGAGGTCCAGGCGCCAGTAAAGTCATTAAAAATTAGTATAACACTGACTTCCACGGTCCACATTCTACATATATCAACAGGCCCGGGGAAAAAGTAGAGTATATTTACAGTTTGTAAACTTCTCCCACATGTATCAACACGTCAAACATCTAAATATATTTGGGTCCAAATCTCTATGTGTAAGTAACCGTTATTAAAAGAGTCCAAATATTAAGTTATATACAATTCGACTGCCGGTAGGGAGAAAAATAGCAGACAATCGACGTCTTTTGAAGCAGACTCAATAATAACCATGTTCGGGAATAACTGAGTCATTTGCAAAACATGTGCCGCGTAAGATTAGATTTCAGATCACATAACCATTTTACTAATCTTCATATCAAGCAGGCTTGCTCAAATGCATGATATTGTAGTCCTCTATGTGAAAATTTCTAATTTGTTGAACAAAAACTGTACAACTGAAAACGACAATATACAAAGATTCTAAAAATTGAGCAGTAACTAACCTCCCCAGCATAATGACGAACGCGAAAAGCTCTGCCTCTTTCCCCTTTGAAACAAGGATTAGCATTCAGGTGCTGTCTAATTTTGTTGGCGAATGTTTGATCAGTAGCCTTGGGGAAATTTGATTCCTCATCCAACAGAGAGATCAGCCCCAGCGGTTTCTGCACCGTTCACAACAAATAATAACTAATACTAATAACAAACATAATAAGGTAAATTACAGCCAACGTTGGGATCTGAACTCATTTTCGGGAAATAATTTAATTTCTTAAGAGATTAATGCATGGAATTGAAAGTACTCAAAATCATAACAGCTGTTCTCTCCAGTAAAAATGGAGACTTGTGGTAAGATTGAACTGTAGCAGTACCTTCTCAAAAAGATCCAAGCACTCTTGATTGTCCTCAAAATCTACTTTGTTCCAATCAACGCCATCCAATTCATAGTCCTGAAACATAAATTGAAATTTTGCTATAATGTATTGATCAATAATTTTCAAGAACACACCAAACCACATGCTTCACATGCAATCTTAACCTTTTTTCTTAAACAGCTAATTCACAGATGATAAGGCATTGAAAGTAATTTACAACAGTACAGGTGCTATATTCTTATTATCACAATTCGGTATTTAACGTTTCTAGGGCAAATATAGAAGTTGGAAAGAGAAATCTTAAATAATAACACAATTACTTACATCCTGCTCAAGTTTGAACAGATGCCGATTGAAATGTTGTTGAAGCCTCTCATTGGCGTAATTTATACAAAACTGTTCAAAACTGTTTTTCTGAAATGTAAAAACCATTAGAATTTATAACATATGTACAAACGTTTTTTCCCAAAACATCAATAAGCAGTAACACATTTATACAAATCAAATACCTGGAACGACTCAAACCCATAGATGTCAAGGATACTTATGGATCTCCCAGTGCAACGTTTGCCCACTTCAAGTGACTTGTTGATTTGTTCCACAAGCCAGTCAAACAAGCTTGCATATATGAACTTTGCCAATCCATCCCTTGTGTCAGTTGCCTGCACAATAAGAAAAAACTCATGGAATTTAGTGCATGTGGGAGCTGCAGAAACTAGATTCATTGAACTGTATGAGTAATAAACAGACCTGCCACAACGTTAATCTTTTGGAAATAGTATCTTTGCCAGCTTGGATTTTCCGAGTAGATAAAGTTACCATTAAATCCTGGGAACTGCAACCCATTAGCTGGGCAGCATTGGCAACAGCTGCCAGAGCAAACATATAAGCTCATGTCATTTTTTAAATTGTAATTGAGAAATCATATTTATCCCCATATGCTGCATGTTTGTCACAGTCAATATGAAATTATGAACCAATTCAAAAGTTCCCTCCTATAAATTACTGAATTGGACATGATTGAGCCTGTAAAGCATATGGTAGGGTGGGTCTTGAAATTCACCGCAAAGGTTCAAAGAATGATCTAGTTAGCTTTATTCTTAACTAGTCATTGCCACCGTTGGTATAGCAAAGTAAGAGTAGAGCACAAGGTGAAAGAAGTCCATCAATACGCATGATACCAAGACTATGAATCTTACCTTCATCGTCTGCAACCTCAATGTGATTTTCATTGTCAGTTACTCGGAATGATATATTTCCCAGCCACAGTATTGCGGCAATCATCTTGAAGACTATCTCTTGATCCTCTTTGCAAATTCGAACATCATCCAGTGCTTTCTGGGGAAAAAGTATTTGACAAAAAAGTGGGTAGAATGACAAGAGACGTTTGTTTCATATGAAGCTATAAACGAATTAAACAGTAATGTTCAATAAATGAATCGTCAAATGTTACAGTTTATAGTATACCATTAGCTTATGAAACTTCTTAGTATCGTCAATACCATCAATTTTCATGCAGTCACTTTGATTGAGATACTTGTATTCACTAGCACCTTTAAGATTCAGTCTCCCTGCACATAAAAAGATAATTCCGGTTATAAGGGAGTTTATAGCAATTTAAACTAATAAAAAATCATGCAGAAAAGGTTATTTCATTTCTAATTAACATGCAAAAATTTCTGTTGACAAATTTATATATAAAAACAATTCTGCTTTTAAACTCATGCGTCTTTACTCATTGTCAACGATGCAGAAGTCTTTACTCATGATACAGGAACGACCAAACTCACAAGTCAGAAGTTCTATGACTAATTTCTGACAATTTTTATAGCATAAACCTGTCATTTAAAATAGAAAATTATAGTAATAGGTCCCGTTTATAATGGTGAAGTAGGACAAGAAAATGAGAATCCTCAAGCTGAGAACTGGATGTTCAAAACACTGAAGTTCTATCAGTCTAAAAAAAAAAAAAAGACAAAGCAAAACAAAAACATAAGAACACGGGACATTGTTGTTGGGCTTGAGCCACTGGAAACAAAAATAATTCAACTGAATAATAATTATAACTTAAACGCATAAAGTTATACACAATTTAACAGATTGCTTGCAAATACATCACCTTTAAGATCAGGCGAAGAACCAGCACAAAGTTGATAAAAGATATGATACGTCCTCTCTCCGCTGGCCAGTTGAACAACCCTTGACTGCTCAAAGCGTTAAAAATATCTCAGAAGTGACCAAGGCAAATTGTGGTTTAAGTTCAATTAAGGCATCGTGCATTACCTTTTCTAACAGAACTATTAAAGCATGTGGGTTTCAGCAGGTGACAAGCAAAGGGACACAAGGATATCAAGTCAGTAATCACAATGAAAATAAATGTACCAGGATGACACAATTGCATTTAAAATATTTAACTTGAACAGCCTTACAGGTTTGAATTTTGGCCCCACATATCCTCCCCAGCGTGCTGAAATGAATCTCAATCAACTTCCCCTGCACTTAGGGAAAGAATAATTTCAGCCAATTGCTCAGCCTCTAGGATTCATCGACAATGTAATGCTTAGCCTTTAAGAGAGTTAAAATTGCAGTTTATGGGCAGATTTGATAGAAAACCTTACAATGTATTGAAATTTTATACACTAAAAGCTCCAGAAAGTTCAACTACAATGAAAAGAACCACAAACTCACAAATCTGCTAGAGTTGTCATTCCTAGATGTTTTCGCATTCCCAAAAGCTTCTAATATACAATTCGTCTGGAGGACTTCCTTTTCTACCCCGCAGCTGCTGCCACTTAGAGCCGCTAAGTATTTCATGGCAAACTTTGCCGTCTCTGTCTTCCCGGATCCACTCTCGCCACTATAAACAGAAGTCTAACAATCAATATTTTCGATCAAACACGTCATGATATTTTACCTCTGCTATAAGCGTTAAATGCTACTGACTTCAGGAAAATATCTTTTAGATTCGTGAACAAAACAGAAACTGAGACATGGCTGACCTTATAATAATTGATTGGTTCACTTCGTCTGCAGAGTATGAAAAGCAAACAGAAAACATTTAGAAACATATCGTACATTTATAGCATACATATCTCAAAGAAGGAACAAAGAGGAGGGAAGAGATAATTATAATCACCTCTCATCATCTCATTAAAAGCCACATCTGCCATAGCAAAAACGTGTGGACTGTCCGTAGTCTTCTGCCTATAAGCCGAGATATAATCATTTCCATATATCTGGATCTCTTTGAAGGGGTTGAGAGCAATTAAAACCGGTCCTGCCTTATTCTACATGCATAAAGCACCAGTGGCATATGAGAGAAAAGGGGTGATAACACGAGAAGAAGAAGAAGCTAGAATAGACACGTACATATATCATGTCCTGAGAATATCTAAACCGGAGATTATGAAGAACTGAGGGCTCATTTAAGTAACTAAGCTGTATAAGATCATCCACACCCTCTAGAATATCTGGATTAGCTGGTAAAATCTCTGATCTTGCCACCTTCATAATCTACAGTAACAACCCAGTGGCACAAAATGTAAATCATCCTGCCCAAGTTTGTACTAATATTTTCTTTCAAAAAACATAGAAAGCTTAGAAGCTTACATCTCCATGCGAGAGCGAAACAAAAGCTTCTCCTCCTGAAGTTGATTGTATCTGTCCTAGTGCCCACTTTCCACTGGGCGGCCTACACCAAACACTTAGTTTCTGGAAAACAACCAAAAACAGAAAGGAAACTTATCAAATGCACACTCGACTAACAATGTTATCTATGCAAATAATAGATAAAAGCAGGAAATATACATCTTTGGCTCTTCGGTTTGAAGGTAGCATGTGTTAAGAATCTGTACTTTCTTAATGAACTTTTTTTATGCAATCAACATCGTAGTCAGCACATACTGCTGGATTACCCATACAAAAATGGGAGCCTCTTGATAAAAAACACAAAAGCAGAAGGGACATATGAAAGCAGGTATACAGTGGAACCAAACACCAAGAATCGTTAAAATTTTGTTCATGAACCAAGAGATTGCAACGCCATGCATCAAAGTTCGAACGAGAGGTAAATAAATAATAACTATTACAACATCTTTGCAGTGCCAGGTTACCGTTTTTATGTAATAAGCAACGTTGTCATCACCATCCAATTCCTGAATCTTCCCCGATGTTGCTGTGGAAGCAGTAGATGCGGAAACAGGGTCCTCTGATGATGATTGGCTTATATTCTCTTCCGATGTCACGATATAAGGAGATTCCATGTCTTGCTTCATCTTTTTGCTCGCAAAACTTCCTTTTCTCCTATGTCCCACATCCCCTTCTTTCTTCTTGGTCTCTTCTTTTGCCTTTGCATTGGAATTATTTTTGGACCTTGTTGTTGCATTCTGATCACCTTCAATCCTAAATTTATTCGGCAACGACCGTCTCGCTGAGGGAAGCCGTGCTCTCGACGTCGGACGAGTTGGCAATGCTGGCGGCAAGTCCTCCGGCTTCTCTTCTTCTCCTCTCCGCCGGATTGATTCAAGCATTTCTTCCAGCGAGCTCCTCGCTATCGCAGAAGGCGTAGAAGATAACATCATTTTCGGCTCCCAAAGCCCCAAAAATTCCACACGGATATTCCCAGATTCCTGTCTCAAACTCTCATACCGACCTCAATATTCATCCCTCTCTCCTCGTATTCAACCAGTACATTGCCGATGACATGAAAATTTAACCGACCTCTTTTGAGATTTAACGTCGAAATGATAGTCCCCTTCTTTGAGTTGGAGTTACAGATACACCATAGAAGTAATAAAATCAATAGGCTCTAAGGGGGTGAGAAGGAATAGTGTGAATTGGTTTATCTCCTCGATTCAAAACAATCTCCTGGATCGTTTGCCAAATCGAGGAGATGCAGGGGTTTTCAGCGGTAAAAGTTACAGGGTGGAAAGCAAGGGAGAGGGAGGTTTCTGCAGAAAACAAACCTCCTCTCAGAGTCAGAAAAAGAAGGGAAGAGATGAAAACAGAAAGAATTTAGGAAAATTGCAGTTGCAGTGTTTGTTTTCGTTTCTGTTAGACAACAAAGACAAACGATTCTCGTTCTCCTCTGTTCCTCAAAACAAAAACTTGCTTACAAAGAAAAAAATTTTGGTCATCGTCGCAGAGTTGTTTTGCTTTCTCCGTTTTGGCCCGAAAGTTCAAATATTTCAGGAGAGAAGACAAGACGCCATAGGCATTCGTTGTTTAAGAAAACCGTTTGAATATTTTATTGTATAAAGAAACAGTGCAGCCTTCCTTTTGCATGCATGATTATTCTCATGCTATCCTAATATGAATTATATTAATATTGTTAAGTTTCCAACATAAATGGATTATTCTTTTGCAGAAAACGGCAAGACTTTAAAAGAGTATTATGGCCGTATGAGAACGACCACGGGCCATAACGTGGCGGGAAGGGTGACACGGGTTGTATTCAAGAAGCAGGTTGCTCAAATGGCCGTCGTATTTCAAATTATTACAAAACTACCATCCTCCGCTCGTTCGGTCGTTTGCCACCAAACTCAAACCTGCTATTTTTTTAAGTTCTTTTTTTTTTCATGAGATTTATTTCCGGTGCATCAAAAATTTTTATTGTTTCATGAGATTATATTGAAGTAATACTAGTTTTTTTTTGGGAGCAGAGTGAAGAATTAATACAGGGAGTTAATAACGATAATCCCAACTTCATTGTTTTTAACTTTTTCCAATTGTTACTTTCAGTTATTAATATAAGAACTAGTTTGATTTTTAATTTGATTCTAAATATAAGATTCTAATCTATGTTGTCTCACATATTTATCTATTTTTCTCAATATAGTCTTTATACTAGTTGTATATGTTCAATATTCTATTAAATGGTAGTTTTAGTTAATACACATAATTAATAAAGATATTTTAAAGAAATAATACTTATTTATTATAAATAATTAACTTAACTAATTTTTTAATATATTTAAATTAGTTAACTAGTTTTTATATTAAAAACAGAACTAGTATAATTTACATGCGTTCTACTTTCGTCTCTCCTTTCAAAAGTAAAATTATTCATTTAGTGGTTGATATAAGGTCATTGAAGGGGAGGAAAGAAAAATTAATTCCCCCATATTTGACTTGTAATTTTTTTACGAAGTGCATGCCCCCCAAATTCATTCACATCAGATAACACATTATTGTTTCATGAGATTTATTTCCGGTTTATCAAAAATTTATTGTTTCATGAGATTATATTGAAGTAATACCAGTGTTTTTTGGGAGCATAGTGAAGAATTAATACGGGGAGTTAATAGCTGGTCCCAAAAAAAATACAGGGAGTTAATAATGATAATTCCTACTTCATTGTTTTTGACCTTTTCTAATTATTACTTTTGATTCTTAATATAAGAATTAGTTTGACTGTCAATTTGATCTTAAATATAAGGTTCTAATTTATTCTGTCTCTCATATTTTTTTTTTAAAGACAGTCCTTGTACTAATTATATATGTTAAATTTATTAAATAGTAATTCTAGCTATTATACTTAATTAGTAAAAATATTTTAAGAAAAATAATACCTATTTATTGTTAATAACTAAATTAACTATTTTTTAAATATATTTAAATTAATTAACTAACTTTTATATTAAAAACTAAAGCTAGTATAATTTACACGCCTTCTATTTTCCTCTCCCCTTTATTCAGAAGTAAAATTATTCAATATAAGGGTGTTGGAGGGGAGGAAAGAAAAATTAACTCCCCCATATGTGACTTGTAATTTTTTTAAGGAGCGCGCCACACACACATATATATAGGGGGACGAATTTGTTCGCTTGTTTGGCTCAAATTATTTTATGAAAGTGAGAAGAGTTACATCAATAAAATATAATAATTATTAGAGGAAGCATGTTGAAATGGAATATAAATGATGACAAGCATATACATCTAAACCCTTGAAATTAAATTTAGCGAATTAAGTGAATGAATGAGTATGGATGGTGGGTACTACAAATTTATATCAGCGTCCCAAATGGTAAATTCAAACCCGTTCATAATAAATGTATATGTTTGGGGAACACATATCTAATGACAATTGTGAATATATTGACAGGACGTGACACACATATTTTATAATATACTCCTCCGGTCCTTATTATAAGACCCAATTGACTTTTTATTTGGTTCTAATTATAAGACCCATCCATTTTGTCTCTTATATTTATGCATTTTTTTCCAAGATAATCCTTCTAATAATGATAGTTTTAGCCAATATACTTAATTAGCAAGGATATTTTAGGAATGACAACACTTATTTATTATAATAACCAACTTAACTTACTTCCTTAATCTCCTCAAATAAGTCAATTGGGTCTTATAATTAGGACCGGAGGAGTATTACTTTAAATTATGAACCTCATTCACTTGATAGAGAAGGTCCCTACGTGTCCTAATAATCTTTTCAATTCACAAGTCTCTTTCATTTTCTTCTTACTTGTCCTTTTTTCCTTTTCTCTTTGTTAATAGTGAAGTCAAACTTCAGCAGCGATTGGCTCATTAATGCTTTGCAGAGAGTTTTATATGTAATCAAATTGATCATCTTCTCCAATTGAAGGGCCATATATACTTCCAGCAAGTCAGATCGACGAAGCACTATGAGAACCATGCGTATAATATGAAAATGTAGTTATGGTAATTTACATTTACAAATGGATTTATATATCAAATTATAAAGACTGAGTGTCCGTTTTGAATCTCTTTTTTTTGGCTTCCCCGAGATGTTGCTCTCGTCAAAACTCAAAACCGCGTTTTGGGAGAACCAGAACGTAGATTATTTTAAAATACAGCTTTAATCAAAATTATTGTGTAACGGGCATACGTTATTATATATATGTAATTATGTTTTGTGGGTTTTCGAAGATGGCTTTTTAATTATTTTCATGTTCACGTGGGTCTGAAGTAACAAAGAAAACCTAATGAATATGGGTTTTTAATGGTTTTGTTGTTTTCCCGTTAACGTTGCCTTGATTTTGTGCTTTTATGTATGGCTAACGCGATTCTCGATCAAGTGCCGCTTTTCCAAGGCTCTGTTTGTTTGGTCGCACTCAACTGCATTCTGTTCTATTCTTCTTGTTGCCCATTGTCATTTGTCAACATCAATTATTACTTATTCCACCCCCCAGGCTGTGCTTGATTGAGTACCTTCTCAATCAAAAATTACTTTATTCAATCAACATGCCTATTATTTTGCTTCTAAGCTTTGGGGTCATCTCATGTGCTATTGATTAATAAAAAAAAAAAATTAAGTGCCGCCTCCAGTGCTAAACCTAAATATAAAATTTAGTTTTAGGATAAATTATCTTACAAACTAATTTTATATTTAGGACCGGATGAGGTAGTATTATTGGATTTAAGTGGGAAATTTTTTTCCAAGTGTGGTTCCCCCGTGAAGTAATGTCAGTGATTTTAACTTAACCCGACTGACTATTATTGGTTTATGTAACTTCACTAGAGTTGTTAGGACAATTCGTGCTCATATTACAGTACATTTCAAGGAAAAAATTGATGGAAGTAAGCCCCCAATGATGAGGGTTTTAAAAAAGTGTAAAGCGATCTTAGACCTTAGATCTCGGAACTTAAAATGCAGACTCAATCATCAATCTCATAAAGTGGTGATTGGGCATCATTGCCTACTGGGGTTCTAATCATAAGATCAGATCCTTCTTTTCTTCCTTTAAAAAAATGTTAGGCCCATATAAACATGGGCGTGAGTTATGGGCCGAACACGTACTTAATGTAGATCTGGCATGATGCAACAATAATAGTTCCCGCTCTTTGCGAGAAAAGTTAACATTAAAATCACCAGTTAGGATTAGGTTTAGTGGAAAGAACTATTGTCTCACAACATGACAAACTAACATTTAAATTATCATTAGAAGGAGTGCTCACATTTAGTGTCCAACAATACCTTAAATAGGATTGTCTCTTATAGGAGGATATCTTTTATTTAAAAAAAAAAAAACTATCACTATGATGTTGGAGAGGCAGCTTGGTTTGGGTTGGGTTGCTAATAATTCTGCTGAGGAAGGAAGCTTACTAAACAAGAAGCTGAGCAATACTCAAAATGAAGAAATTGACTTTCATGTTTCTTTCAAAATTCCTACGATGCCGAAAGTTGAATTACAATCTTGTCATTGGAAGGACATTGAGAAACAAACCATGTTATAATCTGTCCCCCCCCCCCCCCCGGGGAGGGAGTATCAGTCATGCTTCAACTTCTGAGTCGACAAGCACATTCACTCATAAGTTATAATAATGCCCCACATTCTGAAGAAGATCGTAGCAGCGTTTGACCCCCCCCCTTTACTGTCTTTGCTCCTAGTTCGGCCTAAAAAGGAAGCAACACTGATTTTAACGATTGCTAATCCGATCGAGGATTGGAAGCAATGCCAAACTTTTTTTTTTTTTTAAAGAACGGGTAAAGATGAGCAAATTGTCCCCCCCCCCAATTGCTTGAAGTATACGCAATATGTAGATTTAACGTTACATTTAGTATACTATACCAAAGTCAACCATTGCAGAGAAGGCGGACGCGCAACGGCTCATAAATACAGGAGGGACACTTTCATGCACATGAACAAGTTATCTACTTGAGGAAGCCACTTTAGGATTTATATATAAAAAAAAACGAAGAAAATAAAAAGCGAAAAGGAACTTAGGTGGAGCACTATGATGACAACATGAGAAGATCTTGTTTTGAATGATGTGGAATCTTCTCTAAGCTTCCAAAACAAACGCTTTATCATCCTGCCAAGAAGCCAAAACCTGGTCCCTATCTCAGCTTGCAGCATGAAATTCATTACTTTTTATTGAATTGAAGTAATTTAAATTTTGTACAGATCGAAGACCCACCCTTTGCTAAATTGTGAAACAAGAAGAAATCATAATGTTAGGATGTGTACGTGTAGATGTAGCTATAATTGAGCTTAATATACCATTTGCTGTAAACTGGGAATCGGATTCTTTTACCCAATGAAAAAAAGCAAACTTTACACCCCGAATGATGGATCGTCTACCATTGCCGACCAAATTAGGCAAGCATTTCTCAGTGAGCCCCACGTCTGATCATCTCATGGTACTGTCTCAACGACTCCTGCCTCTGCAACCTCATTTCCTCGTTGAACTTGTTGATGAAAGCCTCCACACGCCGGTTCAACTCGTCCTGGCCCAGCGACGGTTCTTTCTTCAGCTTCCCTGAACCCGAACTCGGTGTTTGGCTCGGAGACTCGTTCTCACCCGGGGCTTTGCTCCTTCCGTTGAAAGTCTCAGATTTCTTCACCGCAGGTGTGCCGTTCTGGTCCGTCCGCGGAGAATTCCGACGCAGCTGCGAGTCCCACGTGTCGGACTTCTTCAGGTGCCTTGCTAACGGCATCGCACGACCCTCCGTTATCATCCTCCACGTGCTCTCTAGAGTGTCCTGCCGCTTCGCCTTCATCACTCCCAGCGCCGCCTTCCCTCCTGGGACCACAGATCCATTCACCGTTCCTTTTCAGATTGTTTTTCCTTTCAAACATCAAATTGAACAACAAAATCGAAAATCAAATTCATATCACAGAGAGAGAGAGATATACCATCAGGACCAGCTTTGACGGCTTTTCGGTGGCCGAATCTGGCAGAAACCGGCGGTTTCTCATTCTCATTTTGAAACGACAAACCCAACGAGTCCATTCTCTGCATGCTTGTCCGCAGCTGAATCTTCGCTTCATCGGAGCCACTCACGACTTCCTTATGATCCTTCAGCTTCGGTGTCTTTGGTTCCTGTACACTTGCATCATAAACTTGTGACTCAGAAACGAGGCCATCGGAGACAGGGTACTCCATCCTCACATCGCGGGTGATCATGATAGGCTCCTGCGTTAGATTCTGAGAAGGCGGAAGGACCACTGTGTTGTACTCCGTCGGCAGGCCCTCAGAGATCTCGACCGGTGCCGTGGTGAGCGTCTGAATAGACGGAAGGAGCACTGGGTCGTCTGGCGAGTGAGTATGATCGAGTTTATGCTGGTGTTGGAGTTTGGAAGAGGCGACGATGCTGATGATGATGCAATTCATGAGTATGTAAAGGTAAGGAGGTCTGAGGCAAGTGAGCATGAAGGTCCAGATCGAAGGGCATTCGGAGACGATGAAATCTGAGACGACCGGAACTGTATGCTTGAGGGCCAGTGCTACAGTTAAAACACCGGTGGAGACTAGTATCATCTTGAGGGTTGAACTTGTCGAGAATGAAGCCATTAAAGTTATTTTCTTCACAAGAAGATAACTGTATAAAAATCCGTATCACACTGCTTTGTATATCTCCGGACCTTACCTTCTCCGGCGATTTCTGTTACCTTTCAGATAGGGGCGTGCCTTGAGAGAGGTATTTATAACGCCGGCTCCAAAAATCAAGTGCGTTTGCGATGAAATGTGGACCCTTAGATGGAGAGCGGGACCCACAGCGGGTGTGATTATTGAATTATTCTGCGTTTTATCCTAACTCGGTAAATGGGATATACTATACTAGTATTTTTGTGAGGAAATTCTTGAGTACACGATAGTATATTTGGACCTTTTATTTACGTAATAGGTATTAAACCCTGACTCGGTGTAAGAACGGGGGGCAAAGCTTCATGAAATTTTTGTTGGTCTAAAAAAATATTTTAGAAAATGTAAAATTTTTAAGATTTAGAGAGTTTGTCGTCAAATCATTCTATGATGTATAAATTGAAAGTCCGAGTAAAGGCTAGGTTAGGTGATAATATTGATTCTTGTTTTTAGGTCTTTAATTACCTTGCTACTGGAGTTTAAAAAAAAAAAGCATCTAGTTACCACCTTGATGCTAATGATGAGAAATTAGTCTTTTCTTAGCATTATTTATAACTATTATATTTTCTTGCTCCATTTTTGAATGAAAAAGTTCCCTTTTCCATGCAAGGATGGTGTGTACTAGCTTTGTACCTTTCATTTTCATTTCACATTACAACTGAATATTTATATATAGTTACATGTCGGGTAAAATTTAGTAAAAATATAAAGACGATAGAACAAGTGGTCGGTGAGAGGAAAATAATTGATAAAACAAGACTTATAATGAGTGAAGAGTATAAAGGAAACATAAATTAAATGAGGATGGGAGGTGTTGTTAGAAACAAGGGTAGAAATATACTCTATGAAATAAGAGGGTGAAGATGGGTGTATATTAAGGTAGTAGCCAGAAATGAATGAAGTCGGCATGGACGGTTTGGTTACAAATGAAGTAAACTATGATTAAAGGTTTGATTATTGGAATTAGGATCCACTGGGCTCGTGCACAATTACTATAAGACGCAACACTCTGCCACTCACTCACTCCATTTGTTTCTGGATCTTCAATTTAAAATGTGCTTTTGACTTGATGATTAGCGTGAAGTGGTGTTGCAGAACTAACAATTATCAAATATGGTAGTAGTAGTATTCTGCTGTCAAGAATAACAAAAACCAGTTCCTTGGGGTTCGTTCGTGGGTGGTGACAGTGAGGAGCAAAGCACATGATGGTTCGTATATTTAAATACCACGATCGTACCATTCCTCAACGGCTATATATTATAGGAGTATTTATATTGTTTATGTGAGCGTTAAACCCGGAGGGTCTCATCCATAATGTTCTGGGTCCTCCGCTCACGCCCCGTTTCGGCTCTTTCGGACCCTCTCTCCACGTGCTCCTTTCCCCATCTCGCAACTTCTCACCGACCCTGAGTTTTATTCCCCAGCAGTATTTACAAGCATGGTCGGATGGAAAACAAAGAGGGAGCAGACAAATTTTTTTTATATACATTACAAAGATGAAAGAAGGAAAGAGTTTCACACTGAAGTATTGGGTGTCTGTAGAAAAGCATACTAACAAATGCAGATGGACCCCCCCCAAAAAAAAACCAAAACAAAAAGTACTCCTCCAGTCATTAATATAAGACCTATTTAACTAATTTGATTAGATTAAGGAAGTTAGATAAGTTAGTTAATTATAAGAAATGTGACACGTTTTTCCTAAAATACCATAATAATCTTTTTAATACCACATCCCCTCTTCTACTGATTATAGTTATGGAGTATCCATAGAGGTAATTTAGAGAAAATTGAAAAAGTGAGTCATAGGACCAAAACCAACTCAATAAGGATCCTATATTAAGAACCGAGGAGTATTAATTTAGTGTTAATTTGAGAAAGAGACCGACGTACGTGAGACTAACGCTATTAGTTAGTTGAAGAAGATTACTCTCCCCGGTTGGGCAATGCAAAGGGATTGGCTCATGATAATGAATGGCTGAAAACACCTTAGCTTCAAATGCCTTTACATTGGAAATTAAAAGAGTACATGATGATGCGTGAGTGACCTCTTCCATCTTCTCTCGTCAAAGGAACTCACAAATGTGTCTTTGAAAATGAATGCTTTTGTATGGCCATTATTTGAGGCAGTGAGATCAACTTGCTCCGGCATGACTCTCCTCTCCCACTTGGCCACACTCATTATTCTCCGTATGGCGGTGTTTGATTGTGGTTTTGTCGTGTCAAGGAAAGGAAGCGCCACCCACAACCTATATTGTTTGAATTTGCAATGATAAGCAGTGTTCAATATATATCAGTTCTGATCTTAATTATAAAATAATAGTTTATATACAAATAATTTTTTATAATTAGGACACGAGTAAGTATATGATGTATGATGATCTTTGTTCAAAAAGTAAGTCAAAGATATAGACATTAACAAATTGAACATGTGTGCGTGAGTGAAAAGGATATCAAAACGCATCACGGAGCGGACCTTATCTGATTATGTTGTTGTTTCTCATCACTGTTTTCTTCCATATGGGCGGCCTATGTCTGGGAATCTTCCAGGTCTGCTCATCCGATTACCAATTTCTAAACGCAGTAGCATCATTACTAACTGTGGTAGCTCCTTTGCACGTTAATCCACAACATATGATTAGCTTACGGTATCTTTCCCTGCAATGTTTTCTTTTCTTTCCTTGTCTTTTGGGTCACTTAATTGGAGTAGGTTCAGCCACAACAAACCCCGCCACATCGTACTTTCTCACTTTTGGGATACTTTGATGGTGACGACAACTGAGAAGTTGCATTATTAACCTTCATTGTTCATACATAAAATTTATGAATGACAAATTAAAATATGTTGTAAAGTTTGACTGCAAATTTAAAAAATGAATACACCAAAAAAATCATAATTTGATAGATAAACTTGATGTTATAAGTTCTATGCTCTTGTCGTGTATTAAAGGCCAAAAAATAAGGTCATTTTTTTTTTGTAACAAAAGAGAGAGAGAGAGAGAGAGGTCCTTTGGAGTTGCAAGGTCCTTTGGAGCTGTTTGCGTATTGGGAGTAGATGATGAATCACAGGAGGTGATAGGCTGGCAGTCAACGAAATGATGAGGATAGGTATAGGATAACAGGAATCATTGCGACGCCACTGGATGGCACCGTCCTCTGCAGCCAAGGTGCGACACGTGTCAACCATGAAAAGGTCACGTCTCCTTTAAATTTCCTGCGACGTCATCTTCTCACCCATACGACCTACCCTGCACTGTTAAAACCTTTGCGTTTTGGACTCAAAGCCTCGTTTACCTCCCCAGAAATTCGCGAGTCGTGAGCAAGTTTGGTGTGGAAAATTCTAGCAAGTCCCACATCGTTTTAACCTAGCGGACCTGAGTTTTGATAATGACGTCAGACTAATCGTGGCTTCTTTTTCTACTAATCATAAGTTTTGAACTCATAAAAAAATATGAAGGAAGATAATTGACGCCAGTTAAGTTATTATAAATTACAAACTGTTTGGAAAGCAGTCCAAGCAAACTTTTGAAGGTAACTTCGTGGTGTCATAAATTATAACTTGGTGTTGTTTGAGACCCGAAATTAACTTTTGAAGATAATCCAAAAACAGATGGAGCTTTTGAGGGGGGGGGGGGTGGAATACCCAATAGCTGTCAAATCTATAAGGACCCCTCCAGTGAACTAAAGTTTAAATTCACGTTAGAATGAGAGAAATATCCATATTTAATAACTGACAGTGCTTTGAATAAAATTGTCTCTAACAGAAAAATACTTATTCTTAACCCAAAAAAAAAAATTTACAACCAAGCATACCCTAAAGTCTTCTGGTATCGGTTTCTCTGCAATTTTAGTTTTGCCAAAATAACATGCAGCAGTATTGGTTCTCGGCAGGCGTAGGAGCACTTTGTTATTTTCAACTGCATTAGCGCAACAAATGTGTTTATTCTCAATAAACTGAAATCGTTCCGCTGAAAGAGCCAAGTAATTCATCTGTGTTTGTATCCCCGAAGACAGGAAGTTACAACATAAAAATAAAATATTTAGCAACATGGTGCACTGTTCACACGACTCGTTTCTTTAATTTCATACAATCCGGAGGCCCACCTAACAAAGATTACATCTGAAGTGAAATATTCATAAATGGAGTGAAGGGGAAAAAGCTAATATCACTAGATTTATTATCATGAATGGACCTACACATCCAAATGAAGCAATCAAACAACACAACAAAAAATGAAATGGCTCTACAAGTGGCTTACAACCGCAGGACAGCTCAGGTGAAATGACAAAAATTAAAGGGCGTATTCTGTAACTTGAACTAATCTTTCTATGTGGTATGTGCTGGCAATGTCTTCCGAAAGACCGATCAGTGTTTCGAAAACATTCCTTGTGTTAGAGAGGAAAAATCATAGTCCTTTCCTGATGACTGTGAAGGGGCTGATGATGCCGGGGCTGCTGGCTGAGGTTTACTCCCTCCACTTGTGGTCGTCCCATTAACTGGAGCGCCTTGTCCCATCATATAGAAACTGCAATAAATGGCAACCAAATTAACACGAGAATCTGAATAGAAGTGGTGTTTCAAGGCCACTGCAAATCATGCAGAAGCAATATGCAATATGGATGCGTTAGATCAGTGAGATCATATCCACGGTTGGAAACAGAAACCCTGGAGAGCCTTTTAGTGCAGCATTTTTACAAGCAATTATCAATTATTTTGAGAACCATGGCGTTTTCTGGTCCATCCAGCATGAATAGATATTATTTCAAAAATTGTTGGACCTTCATTGGTCAAACACACAAGAGTCAAGCAAATTGAACACAATTGGCTTTATTTACGTTAACTAGCGACTTACCCAGACGGATATTGAACAGCACTTCCTGCAGGTTGTGCTGGAGTAATGTTCCCAGTCTACATCATCAGAAGGAAAATAACTAAGTTGGTGGACGGAAGAGAACAGAACAATAAATAATCAAGTAATGTCTTAGTTGAGTCAGAACCTGCATGAGTTTCAATAGCTCAGACTGACCAGGCATTGGCACAGCTCCAGGGATAGGGTAGCCAACACCTGGCCAACTTTGTGCGGCAATATCGGACCCATTCAGTCCAGATTGTTGTAAACTACCGGGATTCTTGGGGTCCCCACTGGCAGATTTAGCTGCAGCGGCCATCAGAAGGGACTGTTGCTGTGCCAGCATGGCAAGTTGTTGTTGGTGCATTGCAAATGGAGACACCATATTGGACTGCACGCATACATTTCACTGTGTCAGATAAATAAACATACATAGAGGACAAAAATAAAATCCACTAGATGCCTTTGTCTGAAACTTGGATCCTAAAATCATAAATGAACTAAAGGTGGCAACGTTTCAAGTAAAACAAAGTCTTTATTTCTATAAATATTAAGTCAATAAAGTAGGACAATGCATAACAAATTTTTTGAGTGCACACCTTCTCAAAGAGGCTCATTATATCATTTTTTAAATCTTTCTGTGGTTTTTCTGGAACTAAGCTTGGTGCCACCGAAGGTGAGGATGAATCCTTAAATAGATCCTCAATTCCAGAAGCTGACGGAGTACTCTCAACTGCTTTTGTGGGACTAGTCTTCTCTGTTGCTGATGCCTCTGTAGCAGCAGCTGAAATTCAAAGTGGACTTAGTTTTCAGAAACATCTTAAACAAACCATGTCCCGCAACAACTGCTCTTGTAAGCTCGGGGAAAATGGAAAAAGGTCATGCAGAACATACACTGAAAACCTGCCCAGTTATTATCATCAGCCGTAGCAGCAGCAGCAGCGCCTGAATCATTTTCACTTGGGCCATCCATAGACAACATGTCGAACAGATCTGTAGCAAAGTCAACTTTTGCAGGGGTACTCTGAGGCGTATCAGTAGATGGCTTTGTTGTCTCAGCTTGAGGTTGTGGTGCCACCGCTTCCACTTTCTCAACATGCTGAGGTTTTATGACAGGTATTGCCTATTCACAAGTTCGCAAGTTCATTAAAGTTAAAGGCACTGATGGACAATTCGCAGAAGTTCCAAAGGTGATGAATGTTCTGTACATTTTATCCTTCTACATCACATTGATTGCGCAAAAAAACATTGAACTAATTCATTACAGGAGAAGAAACAAATGGATTAGTATAAAATAGAATGGCAGTGCAAGGAATAAGATATACCAGCTGAGGTCCTTTTGGGGGAGCGGAAACAGTAAATTTAGCAGCAGGAGTTGTATTTGATGGCTGAATTTTCTTCCTTTCCTCAAAAGTATTCTCAGAAGCAGATGCATGAGAACCGTGCCCACTTCTTTCTGCAGGCCTCTGCCAATGTGAAGAAGATTTATCTCCCTGCAGGCTAGAAGGTGATTTTGGTTTCCCATCCTTCGCCACCCACCTCTTCTCTTCATATCTTGAATCACACAAAATTATTTCAGCCAAGGGAAGGTAATTATCACCAGGTGCTCAAAACAAGAAACATCTAATTCTAACTGTAAGGAGAAAAATATAACCCTGATTGAAGGAATGTATTTTTTTCACATACTTTGCGCGAATGAAATTCTCAATTCCAACTCTATCATAATTTGGGGGTAACTCTGCTTCCCAGTAACTATTTGCTTTCTCATTTCCCATTGCTATGCAAGACAATAAAACCAAATATTTTGAGAACAATATACAACTAATGCAACTAAAAAGTTCTGCTATAGGTGCAAACTAATGACTCATCAAATTCCCTTACATTGAATGAAGGCAACCTGCTCTGGTAGCCAAGTGTCCAAAGTTGCAGACCGCACCTGCAAAAAGCCAATAAGCAAGTAAATAATTGAACAATGCTACTAGTGAATCAACAAGAACTTATATTTAGGCTGTTACGAATCCATGACTAAAGACTACTTTAAGAAATCAAGAGCTGGGTGCAACATTATAGTGATTTGCACATCGTAATTTGCACATCAATGGAATTGATATTAGCATTTGATTTTAGACATAAAAGAACATACGAAAATTAACTATTTGTGAGAGCCAAAATCATAATCAAGAAAAATGTTCTTAGAGGAAGAACAAATTAAAACTGCATACACATCATCAAAGCCACAGTCGGAATTCAGAAGTAAGGAAAGCCCATTCTAACCTATGAAGTGCTGTTTAAACATCTACACTTAACGTTAGCAAATACCTATGGCTTGAAAATCAAAGTCAGAAGGAAAATTATATACTACAGAAGGCATTTTTTCAAACATCTATGTTTATTATCAGCAAGAAGTAGTGCAAGAATCATCACAATACTAAATTTTCTATCAAAAAGTAAGATTTGGTTTAGACTACTGAAAGTTTTTCCCTGTATTCTTCACCATAACACCCAATTTTCCTTTTTTAATTTGTTTTCTGATTAAACTTAGATTAGAATAGCCATAAAGCTAAAACACTTAAAACAGACTCAAACTGCTTCTACTTCTGAGATGTTATGGTAAACTGAATCACTATCCAAAGGAAATAGCATCACCTTTGATATATGTACTCCTAGACTTCGATGTATTCCTGAGCATTGCATGCATATAAAGATGCCTAGGTTCACACTAGCCCATCTCGGTCCTCTGCAAAGCAAGATTACATAAAACAGTCGATTTGTTGAATCAATAGAAAGTAACAAGACAGTTTTCCGTCGTATAAACAAAAAAAAAAAAAAAGTAACAAGACATGTAAGATACAGGACTATCTACTTTTATGGATCAATATGTATCTTTTTTACTTGGTTTCCAAATCTCAAGAGATACTAATCAGAAATTAAGAGGCGACCAGATACATACTTAGCTTTGCAGTCAGCACACTCCCTATTTTCTGGTAATTTAAGAAGTCCTTCCAGTATCTGCATGTTTGAATAAGGAAAAATTATAATCAAATAAAGGAAAGTATAATGTCAAACTAAGAAACACTAATCTAAATTGAACTTCACATGTACAAAAATAAAGAATTGTGAATGCAAATCATAAAACTCACATTAAATTATGGATGCCTCAGACTGAAAAACTTGTTTCCAATCAGCAGAATAGAAAACAGACCAGGTTTACACAGACAAATACCAAACATCCAAAATTCAGGCGAATAGAGATGTATCAAATTGGTCTCTTTGGCCCGAAATATTAGAATATTAAAACATATTACCTCCCGTCTCTAATATAAGATCTTGTTTGCCTTTTATTTTAGTCCTAAATATAAGACCTCAATCCACTTTGTCTCTCATATTTAAGTATTTCTTTCCAAGGTAATTCTTTTAACAATGGTAGTTCTAACTAATACATTTGATTAACAAGGGTATTTTAGAAAAAACAACACTTATTTATTACACATAACTAATTTAACTTATTTCCTTAATCTCTTCAAATTAGTCAACTAACTCTTATAATTAGGATCGGAGGTAGTATATTTGTAAGATCCAAGTAACATCCTCACAATGTCTTTAAGATTCTCACAACAAATCTATTGACTGCCATCCTTTTTATGGATTAAGTTATCCCCGAAATTAGAAAATTAGAACTACTCAGATAGCTTTCCATACACAAAAACTATAGAAACTTGTAAATCAAATCGAGGCAAGCAAAATATGAAATTTTCTGCAGACTAGGACGGATAGTGAGATTAGATAACACAGGCACAATGAAATTAACAATGGGTCCTACAGATCCATTGTAGATCATAAAGCAGGCAATCAACGCAACTCCAAAAAAGAAAAATGCAAGATTTAAATGCATTAAAAAGACCAAGACTACAGAAAAACTATCCTAAATCCCCAGAATTCTTTAGAATAAAAAGATCCACCAACAACCACAACAGCCCATATCAATCAGTAAACATAGCGTAAACAAGCAGATCAAGCTCTCACAAAACAATTATCCGCAACGACATCTCTAAGAGCTAATTGTTCCATAAGCTTACACGCGGTAAAAATAATAATTTGTACCGACGATTAGCTGATATATCATGCGCGCGCGCGCACATAGATACATTAGACTACGATTAATCTCATATCCAATAACTATTCGATCCCAGTATCATCTGACAACGGGTTCGACAAATTTTAAAAATTTCAAATTTAACCAAAAAAAGATGAAAGTTAACCTTTTTATGCTTGGCGTTGAGCTCCTTAGACACGTTAGCCTTCTCGTTCATGGTGGAGCGCAGAAACAACAAAAACGAAGACAATCAAGAAGATAAAAAAGAAAAATCTAAGAGAAGCGAGAGGGGGGAAGATGAAAACGAAATGCAAATGGGTGGTTTTCACCCTTTTCTATTTCCTCTCCCTCCCACTCCTCGGCGTCTGATTATTAAGCGACCAAAAAACAAAACAGGACAACGATGGAGAGAGCCGAGAAATCACAGTGGAGGCACCCCTCCTTGACTTTTATTATCCGCGTTTCCCCCAGTATTTTCTCGCTTTTAGTTTTATTGGCGCCCTCGCTTCTATTTCTATAATTGTTCATTAATTATTTTTAGTTTTTTTCATTCAAACATGTCTTCAACCACACACATATATGTTGATTATATATAAAGGTTTTTTCTTCTGAGAGGAGTGATTAGCTGTGTTAAAGACATGTTTGTGCCTATATAAAATAAGGAAAATAAAGGAAGAAATAGTAAGTGAGTGAATGAATGGGGTACCTAATTCTGTCCTGATGTGGAGCCCATGGATTATGAATTATGAACAAATTTATTATTACAAATACAAATAATGTTAATATTTTTGTTTTCAATCGTCAATAATAATGAAAAACAAAATGAATCAATCATCTTTTTCTTTTGTTAGAATTGTGTTTTCAAACACTACTCGGCCTCTTAATGTTATTTTATTTTTTGAAGTTATCATTTATACGTTACTTATATTGATACGGATGATTGCATCTTAATATTGCATATGTTCTTTACTAAATCATTCATTTACTTTATCTTTCAGAAGCTCTCATCTAGTTACAAAAGTCTTGCGTTGTTCTTTATTATTGGTTAAGGTTTCTAATGTTAAACTGTTTATTAAAAAAAAAAATCTTGATTGTTTCTGTGGATGATGCTGCGAATTAAATTACGTGCGGCTGAAGTTGGAGACAACATAGTCTGTTGACCCTATTATGTCCCTTTTCTATAAGAACATCGATGCATGTATGGTTTGAAGTGAAAGCCAAGAATGAACAAAGCAAAATCTTTATAGTGTATAATTAATTTATTCTTCAAAGTTGAAAATTTACAGTGGCATAAATGATAAAATAATGTTTAAAATTGATAGTTTTATCATGACATATATTATTCAAAGTGGGTTAATACTTAACCAAAATAATGGCCGAATTTACGCGATCTAATGCTGCATGTAAAACGGTTGAAGCTTGAAAATTAGTTTTTTAAAAAACCCAAACACTACTTTATTCTCAGATGTTTAATTAAAATTTAATTAAAAATGACTTTGTTCTTACACAATTATTTAAATTTTTATAACTAAAACATGCCGTTAAAAATGTGATGATAATATAATTTTCCAATAACAGCGTTATAAGTAATGTGATTTTGATTAAGAAAAACGTATACCTATGCATACAAAGACAAACGTGTGTTGAAAAATAAACAGGGGAGTGTCTTTCAGATTAGGAACCAAAATGGGATTTTGATGAACCAAAACGAACGCATTTGGTAGACATGGGGCCTAATTAGACACAAATTGTAAATAAAGAACACATTTGATGGCTTGTAGACATATTAGTGGAGGGGTATGTGATATGATAATGATATGACCCTCACATGTGACAAGATCTGTGTTGGCCTAATGCCATTTGGTTCTATTTGAGGAATAATAGTACAGGGAAAAAAAAATCACAATCATGGAGCTGTTATTGTATAAATTAGATGAGTTTTACAATTGGCCAATGCTTAGCTGGTGTGGCGCGTGCTCTGAGCCTGAGCTCTAATTTAAGCCTCTTTTCAGAGAGTTGGAGGAGCACAAAAATGGGCTTATCATCTTTGCACATGTCCTCTGCTTTGACTTCTGTAAAGTTTCTGATATTTAATTGGCTATATTAAAGTGTTTGAGATCAAACATTCTGAGAAAAAAGGGGCTTTGAATTTTACCTCCGCCAAGATCACCTGATCTAAAAATTCAACAGCCACCGCTGGCAAAAGTTCCGGCCGCCGGTCGGTGCTTTGGCGATTGGTGATGAAGAAGTTAATTTTTTTTATAAAAATAAATATATCATGGTAATTAAGTATGAGAACTTATTTTCACGCAGGAGGTATGATTTTTTTTTTTTGTATTTAGATTTTATTAATGGGGGGCATATAGATTCGACAATAAACAGTGAAACATGAGACCTTAATACTACTTCCTTCCGATTCTTAATATAAGAACTAGTTGACTTATTTAAATATATTTAAAAAGTTTGTTGAATTAATTATTTGTAATAATTACGTGTTGTCTTTCTTAAAATACCTTTACTAATAATGTATTAGTAAAAACTACTATCTGATTGAATTTTTAACATGTATAACTATTATAAGGACTATTTTAAAAAAATGAATAACTATTAAAAACAAAATAAATTGAGATCTTATATTTAAACTAAATTAAAAATCAAACTAATTTTTATATAAGAACAATATTAAAAACATGAAGGAGATCATGGCTTCAAGACAGGGGTATGGAACATCGATGAGTCTTGGCTCGCACTCATCAATTAAAACAGGATCGGAGTACAAGTCACAACTCATGTAGCAATGACCGAAAAAAAATTTATAAGGTTTTTAAATGCCGCCTGATATTTTCCCTTTTTTTTTGTGACTCAATAATCGAATCAAAACGTGTGGCTACAAGAAGGAGGCTCGCTTGATGGTGCCTACGTGGCGGCTGACACATACGCAAGGAGTGCCCAGAATTATATCCTCCCTCGTCTGCAAAGTCGGGTGGCCAGCACTGAATTTCTGGTTTCCTCCTTTCCCATGAGCACACTTTTGCAAACCTCCGTGAAATTGTCAACCTTCAAGTCCTTCTCCCCTCATGACGACTTACACAAGAAGCAGACTTTCGATTTCTCCCCATTAGTAGCAAGGCTTGCTTCTATTCATGACTCTGGTTTCAGTTCAAGAGTGTACGGCGAGAGATGGCGCTTCCTGGGTGAAGCGAGAAGATTCAGAAACGGGGTTTTGGCGGAAGAGAGGATATGCTGGGGGAATAAGAAGAAGAAGAAGAGGACGGTACTGGTGAAGAACAATCAGGGTTTTGGGTTCAACGGTGGTGGTGGTGGAGATGATGGTGCTACTGCGAGGCTTTTGGCCAATATTGGTTTAGCTATTGGCTTAACTTATCTTTCCATGACCGGACAGCTTGGCTGGATATTGGATGCTATTGTCTCCATTTGGGTGATTCTCTCTTCCTAATCTGCTGCTCTGCCTTACCTCTAGAAACGTACACTGATGAAACTGTAGGCAGTATATCATTCTATTTCATCTTTTTTACGAGTAGGCCATTCCATTGAATCCTTCGACTCCTGTGCATGGTTTCAGATTTTGGCATTCTCCCAATCCTCTGATTGAACGTTGTTATCAGTTCAGGTGTATTTCAAAAACTCCAAAAAGCAAGAAAAGGATAGAAATTATTGTAGTAACTGAATAAAAGAAATAGGTGATTGAATTGTTGCTAGTTCTCTTTAAGCATTCAGCTCCACCTTAATGAATTAAAAATTCCATGCCTTTCGTTTGACATCTCATAGAAGACCGAAAAGTGGCCTGATAGAATCCACTTCTGAGTCTATGTTGCGTTATTTTCAGTTTTCTCCGGTCGAAACACTTAAAAGTGAAAACATACGTGGATCAACTTTTATTTCCTCGTTGATGTTATATTTGTGCAGACTTTTTACTCTAAAATCAGTATATGTATTTGGATTTGGGAAGTATAATTTTTCTTTTCTTTTTTCTTTTGCAGATCTTTGCGGTGCTAGTACCAATAGTAGGTATTGGTGCTTTCCTCTGGTGGGCAGGACGAGATATAATGCAAGGCACTGTGAGCCATCTTCAAATTTTCACTTTGAAACTTCATTTGTAAATTCATATTATGCAGGATATATTAAAGATTTAATGCTGTTCTTTTTGGCCGTGTTTATTTTCCCTAGCAAATTACCTGGTCATATGTGATTTTCGAATAATTAACTGCAATGATGAATCAGTTAATGATTATATGATTATACTACTGTTTTGTCGGAAATATTGGCAGCCTCTCTCCTCTGCCTAGGCCCACATAGATGATACGGCTTGAGTTTCAGAGCAGAATCTATTGTCTCCGGACATAAAATGCTGTCCTGTTTTTGTGATTTTGTTCAGAACTTTTCCGGTGTGATCTGATGAATTTTTAGTAGCGATTAGAACGCGGATTTGTTTAGCACGTTTCGGAAAAAGGAATCTGTATCGTCTCATAAGGAATTTCCAGTCTGATGTATGTATGGAGACTCTTAAGAATATTCTGCATTTATCAAGTAAAGGTGATTATCCACAAATGTGACAAATATTATGTATAAGCGACATGTTTCATGGTCTGAGGTCGAACCTGAAAAAACTCTTGGATCTATAATCCCTCTTTTGCAATTCATGTCCCTTTCAAGCCTTTAGACAGTGCATTTTGAACTGTGGTTATTAATGTCATTGTTTCCCAATTGAATAACTGTTAGGAAATTAATTGAAAAGTTAACTTATATAGTGTCTTTTTATCCAAGAAACCTTTTTTATTTTCTCATACCACTTTGCTACTTTCTTACTGTTCAATTGTTATGAATGCTTAGTATGCAGAGACGTAATCTCTGACATCTTCACTGAGTGTTGCTTTTTTTGTTGTATATGCAGTGCCCTAATTGTGGAAATCAATTTCAGGTTTTCAAGTTAAGATTTGCTCAGAACATGCTATTATTTAAGCTTATAAATGATTTTTTTCTTTTTAGTTTCCAATGATCCCTTTGCATTATCGTTTTTTCATTTATCTGTAGCAGATCCACTTTAAATGAAGAGTTGCAGCTGTGTCCTTTCTGCGGTCAACCTTTTTCTGGTAAAAGCCTTCTCTTGGATCTTTTTGCCTTCTCTTGACGGCAATCTTTTCCCTTACAACTGGTGCTTTAACATGCATATAAACATCATTTAGTTCTTTCAGGCTATAGTTTTGAAATTAATTGACCGATATCCTTAATTTCCTCAATTCTTTTATTCACCAAAGGAGAACCCTTTTCATCATTGATTGAGACATCTTTACCAATGTTCGTGATACTTCAACGCTACTTCCATTTGATGGTTTTGAAAGCAGGAAGAACATTAAGACTGCTTAATGCCTAACGTTGTCACATAAATAGAGTAATATTCAATTAATGAATTGAAATATGCATGTTTCTCACTGCTGAATAAACTTACTTTTTGATATCAGTTGTTGGCAATGAGTTTGTGAAGGACTCTGTGAAGTTTTCAAACCAATCTACAACATTTGGACAGGCATTCAAAGACTTCACTCGTTCTAGAAATGGTAGTCTTTCCACCAGTTGCTTTTTAATCTCCTCCAGCACATATTCCGTTATTGTAAACATGCTTTCTCCCCTTTGTCTAGATACTTTCTGATGATTGTTGATAATATCTAGTTTTGCTGTGACTGACGTAACAGGAAAAGATTCTGGTGGAGCGATTGATGTTGAAGCAGAGATAAAAGATGCAGACTAACTCAAGACTTAGAAAGGTGAATACATTTTCGTGTAGGATTTGTTTATCTACTTCGACATGTCTATAAGTCATTCCTCCAGCTCCACAGCACACGCATGGTTAGCAGAACCAGTCTCTGAATTTCAATTGGCAAAGTAATGTCTAGTCCTCACCTAAGATAGGACCACTTAAATATGTTCTGTTTGCAGTGATTTGGAATGAATAACACGGGGCATTTTGGAATTCAGTTCTGACAAATATAGTGATATTCTGGCAATTTGCACGCACATATAAGCATGGCTTGGGCATTAGAAATTGGATTACATTGTGGTTTTGTTTTGGCATTAGAATTTGGTCTCTTTGGCAACTAATAACTTGATGAAATTTATATTTTATTATCACGGTGCATGTAGTGGAGATTTTTGAAATTTTTATACCCCGAAGCGGAAAGGCATCATATTCAGCTAAAAGTGGTGTACATACAAGAGAATGGAATGCAGAGTAGAAGTGCAATTGTCGCAAAAGTTTTTCACACTGATGGTTCTCATTATGTCACTGCTCTGTAAATTATCTTGCTCAGTGATTATTTACTATCTTAGATGTTAGTTTATGTCTTTATGAAGGGAATAGAAATTTGTATCAAAATTGGATATCCTACACAAATAAGCGTGGGAAAATTCACTGCTGACTTTTATATAATTTATCTGGTCCTTATCATTTCACTTTCAAATAATTCACATACCCCTGGAAAGAAAGAATAATAAATGGAAAATGTCTAATGGTTTTTATTCGAATATGATGTGGCTTTCACGTTGTAAATCGTTCATTATTTAACCCTCAGAAATTCCCAATTGAAGAAACATAAATCGGAGCTGAAAAGTTTGTCGGGTTAGATGGATTTTTCGACGCTTTTTTCAATTCACTCATTGAAGGGCACACCCAAAAAAGAGGCAGATATTCCTGTATGCCGTCCCCCCTCATTTTCCCCACCTCAGCTAGCTCGCAAGATTAAAAATTTCAGACTTTGGGAGTTAAAGGAATCAAGGAAAAATGTTCGCATCAGTCTGGAGAATGAAAAGCCTTATTAGAGTTCCAAAGGGATAACTATTTCAAACTTAAGGAGTGTTTGGAAAACTAGAAGTCTGCAAATTTAGACAAACCTTTTTATATATTTACTTGGTATACTGTAAAATCGTTTTCAAAATCATGATTTTGTTCTCACCCAAACACACTCTTGTTACTTTAGCGTCACGTACAACAGAAGCTGCCACACAAAGTGGCGTCACAATACAGAAATATCACAATCCTGAGAGTTGGCGCCTAACAAATAAACTATTTCCAGATGTGATAACAACTTCAGGCTTTGTGTGACGGTTCTCCAGCTTTCTGCAATGAGACATAAAATTTGAAAAGGTAAACAGAATGCCATGCTAAAATTTTCGAGACACAATAAGGCATCCCACATAACTCAAAACTCCAAAATCGCCAAAACATGAAATGACGCACTAAGAATAACTAAATTGTGAAGTTATGGATGACATATACATATATATATATATATATATATTATAGAAAGCATAAGCATGTGGGAATATCAAGCCAATTACATGTTGTGCATTTGATTTTATCATACACGCCCATGACCATTACTAGTACAGGGATGCTCTGTAACACTTCGCTTTTGCATGCATGTGTCTGTTTCGCAACTTGAACATAGCATGGCTCCCCAAACAACCGCTGGAGTAAAATGCTTAACGATTTCATTATAAGAATAGAATTAAGATTTTAGATCATGGAAACGAGTGAAAACTTTGTAGAGATTTTTATGTAGGCAAAAAAAAGAAAAACAATGTTCCAAGCAATTATGAGTTGCCTTTTTAACGATTTACTTGTAGACATTTGGAAATAATATATTGGATGCTATCACATGCTTCATAGAGATATATACCAACATAAGCATGAGATTTGTAAAATTAAAAGATGATAGGGACTTTGTATGGGCAAAGTCCTACATCGGATAGTATGGGCTGCTTGATGGGGTATTTAAACCAATGGCTCTCCCTCCCTAACAGCTAGCTTTTAGGGATTGGCTCTCCAAAGGTTTGGGTACCTATCAATGGTATCAGAGCCGGTGGTCGACGCACCGGAAAGGGCTACTTGCGGAGGGGCTGACCGGCAAGGGCCGAGTGAAGCGTCGTAGAGTGGAGCCGCCGGGACGTCGGCTTTCCGGAGAGGATGTATTGATAAGGACTTTGTATGGGCAAAGTCCCTAAAAAAGCTAGCTGTTAGGGAGGGAGAGCCATTGGTTTAAATACCCCATCAAGCAGCCCATACTACCCGATGTGAGACTTTGCCCATACAAAGTCCCTATCAATACATCCTCCCCGGCTCCACTCTACGACGCTTCACTCGGCCCTTGCCGGTCAGCCCCTCCGCAGGTAGCCCTTTCTGGTGCGTCGACCACCGGCTCTGATACCATTGATAAGTACCCAAACCTTTGGAGAGCCAATCCCCAAAAGCTAGCTGTTAGGGAAGGAGAGCTATTGGTTTAAATACCCCATCAAGCAACCCATACTACCCGATGTAGGACTTTGCCTATACAAAGTCCCTATCAAAAGATAAGAAGAGTATAAGCACAAGACAACAATTGATTTCCTTTAACGGTGGATTTAGGTACCTCTTCCTTCTTGTCATTGCCTCCGGTAAAATACTTGTATCCACCATAGCAGAGTAAGCCGCATCCAGTTAAAGAAACAATGGCAAACTGCAACGGCATAAAACTTGGTGAAATATTCAAGTTTTTACCATGAATAAATCTTGGCAGTCAGTATATCATTGTATTAAATCATGTGGTGATCAAAACACATACGAGAGAGCTTTAAAAATTCTAGACTTACGTGTTCTTCTTTCCACTTAGACGGATGCATTGGGTCCTGCCAAAAATTCACCTTCGGAGTTCCATGGTGATCTGCACCCAGTCAGCGTGATGCCTCAGAAATGCAAAAAGTCCTTCCACTTTATTAGTCATATCACACGCAGCAATAGTTTATTCAATTTTAAACCCCTTTAGAACAAGTTTTGCTCGGTACAGAAGGATGCTAGATTGCAGATAAGGAAGTTGTACGTGTGATCTTAGAATAGAATGTTAAAATATTATATTCATTCCGGAAAATAAAGAAGCGAATCAAGTATCAACGAAACGTTTGGAAAATAAGAAAACCATAGCAGGGTATGTCACCATACTGAAAATAATGCGTTTTGTTCCATAATCACGATGAGTTCATGTATTTTCTTCATCAACTAGGCAAAAAGAATAGAATATAGTAAAGAGAAAGAGGTCGTAAGGGGAGGAAAAATGTAGGAAAATATATATACCGCCGCCACCAGCCAAACCGCGCCGGTGAACAAGAGAAGCCGATCTGGGAGAAGAGAGACGACCAAGATTCAAGGCTTGGCGAGACACAGTTGTCCATGCCGCCATGCTTCTGAGCGTCGGTTCGGAGCGTCGGAAACTAACAGATAGCTGGTAACAGAGATGACTAGACGAAGAAGATGAACGAACATACCAGAGAGCTTTTTATGACTCTCTCTAGGCCATGCTCTTTCCAATCATCACTCACACTATTGTCCCTCCGAGCGCCAAGTGTTCTATGACCGAAACGACGGCGTTAAGTTCACAGCACCATAAGATTATTCAATTGATCGACAGTTCTAAAAATCATGTCATTGGGTTAATGTTTAAAAAAGAATTATTCACATTTTAATAATTTGGTCCTGATAAAATTCCTTTTTTGGCCAACATTTGGTCCCAATAAAATAGGAGTTAACTCATTTTATTCATGGTTATCCAATATTTTATAATTAAATACATGCACATATTTACAAATAAAATAATTTTGACTTTATCAACATATTATTATCTGATTTTTCCCTCTTTAATGAGGTGTGAGAGCCAACAAAATCGGAGTGAAAAAAATTTTTGGGTCTGAATTAGGTTCCTTTGGTATGAGATTGGAAATGAGTAAGAGAAATTTAATTTTTATACTTAACAAAATATGTAAAAAAAAATGAAAAGGTCTAAATACCTTCAGCCAAGAAAAAAAAATTTCCTTGTTTACGAGTAGCTTGCAACAACTCAATTGAGAAAAAAACAAAAAAGAGCCCTAAAATTGATTTCAAAAGATTACTCGCAAGTCGCAAGTCGCAACCCAACAATTGCCCGCGAAATAAAACTTAATCAGATTATATTCAAAATCTTAAACAAAAATCGTATTATATGTAGCATTCACCATATCAAATTTTATATCATTTCTATGTTTTTTTTTTTCAATAAATCAACTTTTACATAATGACTCTCCGCAATCTGACTTGGCTCAAACTGTAAGCCAAACATACCCTTGGCATCTTAACATAGTATGAAATTTTATTCCAACCTGTGACAAAATAAAGCAAAGCAACTTTGGTACATCCAGCTACTGCAAGAATCACTTTGCCTTCTTATCTATAGCTTCACCACTTTTGTTACCATCTTTGTAAGGTGCGGCACTGTACGCATGTTGCTGATAAGCGGAGAAGAAAACCATTTCAATACAGACCAACATGTTTTGGTAGCCTTCCTCTATACGCTCCACATCCAGCCACGAGTAACGGGATCGGATTATTCCCAATTTTGCCAGCATTTCAAGTACTATGCCCTGTATAACCGAACAATCTTTATAGTCAGAATAAATACTTTCATCTTTCATGCATGCACGAACTGAAATTGTGCAGAACCGTTGATGTTAGATTTATAAAAATGTTCAGTTTCATAGTCTGAATCTAGATCCCAGGAGTTCAACAATTTACAGAGCTTTTGGATCCCAGGAAGTTGTGCGTTCAATGAATTTATAGAGCTTGCTGCATAATCATATCAATAAGTATTTAATTTTTTCTTCTTCTTCTTCTTCTTCTTGTTTTTTTTTTTGGGGTTGCCTAATGACGGTAATTATCTCGTATGGGCTGAAAGGATGGTGCATAAACCCAAATATTAGTTACTCCATCAGCAACGATGATTGAGAATAAAGGAAGAGCAGAGGATGATAGGAAAGTACCTGCCAAAAGCAGAAAAAGACGATTCCTTTTATGCATAAAAACTTGGCAAGAGGGTTATGGGGTGCCAGCTCTTTTGAAAACACATGATAGAACACAACAAGAGAATATAGTGCCAGCGTCACTGAAACATTTAGAATGATTGTGAATGTCCAGCTGAGCCAACTGGGATATATTCCAGCATACTGCAGAGCTATCATCACGATGGAGCACACAGGGCGGATCACAACAAATTGCCAAGTCCAATACTTGAGAAGCTTCAGCGAATGCTGGTTCAGACGAGTTGTATGGCGCTGAACATGATGGCAATGATGCATTAAAATTCATATTTATATGTTGACATATTCATGGTAGTAAAATAAAGACTGTGATTAGCTCAATCGGCTAATTGATTCATCAAGTATATCATACAACGGAATGCAGCAGAAAAGGGAAATAGAAATCAAATTGTCAGTGGGTGACTGGTTGTTCTGCATGATGACTTCCAAAGGCCATGAAGGACATTGGCATTAAATGAAAGAGAAAAAATCTGATCTGGTACAAGCGTCATGCTATTGGCATTAATTTGACCTCAAATGTCCAATTATTCGAATGGATCTATACTGGCTGATTATTAGTCACAGACAGCAAAAGGAAAAATTGCCGTCCAATGCACTACAGGATAGAGCGCCCTCTTCCCGTGAAAAATGGTCTACGAGACCATAAATCCACAATTCCCACATTTGTTTTCTTCAGTGCAACCAAACGATGGTCATGACAAAAGGCATAAGAGATCACATTGCTGATCGGAGTGAATAAAGGTTGGTGAGGATCACTCACCACAAAAAGGGTCATTGGAAATGAATGATGAATCTCTCGTCCTTTGATCTCATCTGGCACAACGTTCTTGCTTAAAGATATGTCCAGGTAGCTGTACATTAAGGCCAAGAACTTAGCAATCACCTGTAGGAAACAGAGTGAGATGCAATACTTCAAATTACAAACACCTAAAAAATTTGTGCAAAAATTTAATACCAAATTAAAATCTGGATTTCCCAGAGTAAACAATCCAGGCATAAAAATCTTACCAAAGCCTCATAACACTCTTTGATCGAGTCCAAGATTGTAAAGAATGCCTTGCTTCCAAAAAAGTTTATCAAACCAACATAAGAGTCTACAGCATATATCGGGGCCATAAGGATGATTATTACTATGGCTTTCTGCTCCTTTGCCTTCTTCCAGTTCAGAACATGATCTGCGAGTAGCTTCATTGAAAAGTGTACGGTCAGCATGACACAGATAGTTGATCCCAGCAAAACGAGCTGTGCTGGATCCATTCTTAATTTTCAGCGCTGTTGACCCTGGTGGATTTTTTGATATTGGCCTGCAGAAAGCTGATGAAGCTTGTCGGTTTATGGGAGCTTAACTCAAGGCAATAATTTCTAAAGATTTTAACATGTAAAATCGTTCATAGAGAATATCAAAGTTCTTCCGGAGAATAAATAGCCAGATTACAGGTTTTATGGGCATCTCTGCTTCTATAGGAATTTATTAATCGTTTCCCCCCCATCTCCTTTTTTTTACCAGATTCTGAGTTTAACTCATTGACTTTTTATCATTTTAAAATGAGTGCAAGGGAACTTGCGAATCATCTGATTTAGTTGTCCTTTTTAACCATTGCAAAAGGACAAGTTATCTGCTTCTTTCAGATGCCTATCACAGCATCTTGTAAGGAAACTTTCTCACTTGTCTTGCAGCCATGTGAGCTAAAAACGAAGAAGGGTTAAGAAAATCACTGCCACGTCTAAATAATTTTGATGTATCGTGTCAATTCCTTGGACAACTTTGACCACCAAATTCACTTTTCTTCAGCACTCTCATAATTCTCCCCGCTCTTCCAACATTTCAAGATTGATTGAACTCAACACATGGTCGTGTATCATGACGGTTTTCCCTGTGATCGTGTGTACATTCTCTTCTAAGTTATATCAGTTTACAAATGTGAAAACAATAGAAGAATTCAGTTCAGCAGCCAGATTGAAATTACAATGAGTAATTGCAGATCAAATCTAAGCAGTGCTCCATAAATTATAAGTGAATGGCTAAGGCAGGACTATATAGATTATTGAATATCATTAACCCAGTGAGGAGGCATAAGCTAGGGAAAAAAACAGATGTTCTCAGAGTATACATTGCACTATTATATGAATCAAAACAGAAGGTAATACCAACAGCGATATAAGGATCAAATCGATCAATAGAAATTACACAATAAGCTTCAACTCGAGCACCTAAATCTGAATATATATATATATATAGAGAGAGAGAGAGAGAGAGAGACCATAGTATATGATTCAACTGAGCGAAGGAATGAAAGAATATCGAAGTCTCTTCGTCATAGCAGTAGAATGGGTTAGTGTCATCGTTAACACTTTCTTGTGCTGGCAAGATGGGTCACAGAAATTCTAGAACTTTAAGTCATATTGGTGATAGAGTAGCGGCTTTAGTGAAGCTCAAGAATTTACCTCGCCTATATTTTCTGGGCACCCAACGCAAGGGAAGATATGAGATTGCAAGAGTTAATGTCGGGGGCGGATCCTATCGTTGATAATCGATTCGTTGCTTGTGACAGCTTACAGATAGGAGACAATAGCAGTAAAATGGAAGCTCCAAAGCGCACAAGGATTTGGTCGCCAAAGACAGCGCTCGGAAAGAAATAGACAGCCCCGCTCGGATTTTATTGCCAGAATGATGATTTGGGTCAGGTTAATAGCTCGCGTCATCGAATCTATCAAATCTAATTTTTATGTAGTTTCTATAAAATAATATCATTCCCACGAATTGATTCATGCAATGATAGAATGGATCTTACAATTAACTGCTCTGCTCTGCATTCCTTTTAATAATTACGTACTTATATATCCTTCCAACTTCCAAAGCGAGAACCTCGTGGTCACTGGTCATCCAAAAACTAATGTTTTAATTTTTAAATATGACTAATTTGTAATATAATTTCTAACAAAAATATATATTTAATTATTTGCCGGGCGCAGACTTTTTCACCTGAATTATTAAAGAAGAATTATAATAAAATCCTAAAAAAAAAAAAAAACTACGAAACAAGTTCTAAAAGTCTTTATTCTTAACTCTAAAACTTATATTATTCAGATTGTTATTAGAATTTTTTGGTAATTATTTTTTTTCTTTGAATTCTCCCAACTATCAACAATGCGTGAAATTCTAAAACATATTATTAATGAAGTCATATTTTTCATATTTTATAAATAGTATAAAATTAACATCAATATAAATAAAAATTTATAACAAAATAGCTTACTCATAATAAATAGAGACATATTAAAATAATTGTAAATTTATTTTTTATATATTTATCTAATATTCTCTTCATTTCTAAATGAAAAAAAAATGTAAGCATTAATTAGAGACTCTGTTTTAATCACAAACGTATTCAATCTGAAATTGACGCTTAGTGTCGGCAAAAAAGGAAAAAAAGAAATTGAAGTTTAACGCTAGAATTTTTGTGTTCTCCAAAAATGCCACCTAAGTACGGAGCACCTAAAAGTCACTCTTCAAATGGCTGAGAGTTTTGGCAACTCCGCAAATGCCACCTTACTAAGTTAGCATACTCATCAGTGTTTCCGTGTGTTCATGGATTATGACCTCTTCGCGGTTTTTGTCCGCAGGATTAACAAGAATCCAAAATCATATAATACCTTTGCATGTTTCTTTATCAGAACGTTATTTGCATTTTCTGAAATCAAATATGCCTAGATTATGCATTCTGAGCTTGCTCTTTAACTGAGCATATGCAGAAAATGTAGCCAGAACAGTCAGTTTCACAGCTTTGCATGTTTCTTTACCCTCAGAACGTTAGCTTTTGCATGCTCTGGTACAGGCATGTTGCTTATTACAGTCAATCTAGAAGATGATACCAAGATCCTGTCCGTCGGCTTTGAAGGATCCGTCTTCCATAGTTGCACCTCCCAAACCTGCCCCAATTAAACATCAAACTCTTCATGAACTACTACATTAATCACATAAGAAAATTTAAAGTAAACTTCCTCCCATGTTTACTATCAAATTCTTGAGCGGAAAGACATTTTCATTTTCCCTTCAACATCCATGCGCACCCCTTAGAGAATTTTTTTCACGTATCATAATCTCATTAAAAGAGAGAGGATAGATGAGAAATTGCCTGAATGGTTTTGCCAATACTGACAGGGGTAGCTTCAGCATAGACAAGGTCACCGAATTGAGCAGGTCTTACATGGTTGGTGCTGAGTTGAATTCCAGCTATCCTTTGAAATCCACTTGCCAAGTGAGCTCCAATACTTGCAAGACCCTCTGCTATCATAGCAGAGACACCCCCATGCAAGAACCCGAATCCCTGTACAGTTCGTACATGATTATTAACAAAACTAAGGAAAGAAAGAAACGTTTCAAAGAAAAAAAAACAAAGAAACGGAAAGCACAGCGAAACTCGGCATATTGTTGACCTGACAACACTGGAGGGTGACAGGAAGACGGCCGGTGACCCTGTGAGCTGATAACTCGTCGATCTCGAAGCCAATTGCATGAAGGGGAGCATCTAGATCGGCGGTCTTTGATGATGCGGCCGACGACGACGACTGGTCCTCCATAATCTAATCCAAGAGAGGTGCTTGCTGGGCTAAGTGTCGCAGTGAATTCCGATTCAATCTGACTCGCCCGCGATCGGCATACTTTAGGTCACCCAAGCAAGATGGCAAATTATAAATTTTTTTGAGCAAGCAAATTATGTAATTTAAAACTATTTCTAATATGATAGGTAAAAAAATTCGTTTTCTATAGGCAACAGTATTACTTATATAAAAGGCAATTTTTTTGGGCTGGGGCTGAATAGACAATTTTATTGGCGGATAGTAAATGCAGACAATTTGAATTTTAATTTGTGAAAAAGTAATCCGTTAGATTCAACCTGAGAAACAATGTTTTTTTTTTTTTAAATACAAAAGAGGCGTAAGCCCAAACACAAATTAAAACCTAGGGGAATCAGATCGCATACACTCCCTGGTAACCAAACTTCTCAACTCCAACGGGCAAGAATCCAATGGTTATTTGGTGCATTGGGCATTGGTTCAGAAACTGAACCTAAAGGCTAAGCCCATTTCGTCCGGTGGTCCAATGATCTCCTTTTTTTGTGTTGATCCAAATGATCAAAGAGGCAGTGAAATCAAATCCAACTTCTACCACTTTTCTTTAATAATTTTTCATAACAAAAAAAAAAAGTCACAAAAAAACAAACTCTACTAGCAACCATCACACTGGTGGCTGGCGGTCAGTCGCCGGTAGTGGCCTACCACCAGGAAGGGATTGAACTTTTTTTAAAAAAGAATAAAGAGGCATTTCGTCATTTCTCCTAAATTTTAAAATTCTAATTTGAGAATAACTTCCCTCCTTGTCATTTCTCACCCTTAGCTTTGTAAACTGGGATATCTTAATTTCGGGCTTCTTTATTTGTTATTTTCTCTTAGTTATTTATAATAATATGTGTTGTCTTTAAAATACTTTTGCTAATCATGTACATTAGTTAGAACTACTATTTGATAAAACTTTTAATATGTTCAACTACTAGAAGAACTACCTTAATAAATGAATATATACGAGTAACAAAATAAATTGAAATTTTATATTCAAGACCAAATTAAATGTTAAACTAACTCTTATATAAAAAACTAGATATAGTATCTATTTGTTACTTATAATAAAAAAATAGCTGACAAAAAAAGAAAATTACAATTCCTAAAAATATATCAACAAACTAATTTACTCACTAAATCCACTTTCACCCGCCGTCTTGTTAATGAAATCATTTACTGCAATGCATTTTTTCCGGTAAAATTAGTAGCGGGTCTGGATGGTCCATTTCTCCCGAATGATCCGTTCCGGACGGGTCGTCTTCCAAATCATCTCGAGCTGCTTTATCTGCAGGGACCGGATAAGAATTTGTCTTCCTGTATTCCGCAAGGTCGCAAGCTTCTAACTTTTGAAGTTTACACTCTCTGGTTCCATTTCTCTTCTCTACAGAGCGCCAAAAAAAAAATCGATGGTTTATCTCTAGATTTCAAAATCCCACAGATACAAACAATAATGTCAACCTTGTCAATTTCTTCACCGGTTTCTCCTTTATTTTCTAGCCACAGTGCCGCTTCTACCTCGTACTTAACGTGCTCTCTCAAAATTTCGCCTCGCCAAATCAAGAACCCATTGCTGAAATTGCAAGAACCGCTTCATTCAAAACTTTATGCAGAGACTAAAAGAGGCAAAAGACCAGTGAGAGGTGTGGCGGTTATGAGCGTGGAGGCTGGCGTAGGAGTAATGGGAACAAAATTAGGGATGATGACTTATTTCGAACCCAGCGGCGAAGTCGTTCCATTGACTGTGGTGGGTTTCAAAGAAGGGAATATTGTGACTCAGATTAAGACCGAGGCTACTGATGGCTGCAATGCCGTCCAATTGGGATATGAAAGGGTGAGGGATCGACAACTGACGAAACCATCTTGAGAAGGTGGGTGATATACCCCTGAGGCATCTTCAGGAATTTCGTCTTCAATCTGTGGAAGGGTTCGGGCCTAATCAGCGACTTGTATTGGATGAAATTTTCAAGGAGGGGGATCTTGTTGATGTTTCCGGCATCACCATTGGCAAGGGGTTCCAAGGTTTTGATTCTCTCTCTCCCATTTGCTCTGTGTTCGGCTGGGAATAATTTCAGTTTGATATTATATTTGACAGTTCAGTGATTTCAACATACTATTATATTGCGTTCATATTATAGTAGAGAAAGGAATACACTATGTTAATCTCAGGATTTTGATAGGTGTTCTCAGCTAATCAAGCGTTCCATTTTACGCTTACTAACTCCTAAGATGCTAGCAGAGATGCTAGCAGAGAAGTTTAAGATGGATACAAGTGATAGACCAAGAAAAATCTTAAATTGTATTAATTCTTCATTAAAATATAGCAACTTTTTAATTTTACCTCTATTTAATAAATACTCCTTTCAAAAAAATATAACTATCTACACTATAATAAATAAAGGATAATATGGTAAAAATTTAATAAAGTAACTTATAAATAAGACAAAAAAAAAAATCTTCTCTCTCTGCCTATAAATAGGACCAGAGGAGTATACCTTTAGGAATTTCCCAAGTAGAGAGGGCAGGATGGATGAAATGCAGAATGTGAGGCTATTCATTCAAGGAATTTTCTTTCTTTTTATTTTTTTTGGTGGAATGTCGTATTTGTGTAACCAAGAGGTGTAATTAGCTGCTTTTGAGTATCATTATTAGCATAGATCAGGTGCAGTTATTTGAATATAGTCTTAGTTGTTTTTGTTTACTGACGTCTAATGTTGTGTGTACTATTTTATGCCTCAGCTTTTAGTGTATAAATTCTGTTCAGTAGATATGTTTGGTACGCAGAATCTTTAGGAAGGAAATTGAGAGGGAACGAGAATGTGGTGGAAGTGACTCTTGCATCTCTACATAGAACTATGGGTTCCAAGCCATAATGAACTATTGTTTCTAAGCTATATTTACTGATGAATCCTTTACTAGTATACTTGTATTTGCTTACAAAGTCTAACCTAGCGCAGGAACTCATCTCAGCTTGAAGTGATTGATGACTGATGAGCACTTGGTTTCATATCATTATGTGTGCCAAACAAGGGGAAGAAGATGCCTGGTAGGATGGGAGGAACAAAGACCAAGATCAGAAAGCTCAAGATTGTCAAGATTGATAAAGATCTTAATGTTGTCTTGATCAAAGGTGCTCTCCCTGGTAAGCCTGGAAACCTCATGAGGATTGCTCCTGCCAAGATTGTGGGCAAGAACATTCTCAAGAATTAGGAGATTTCTTTCTTTCTCTATTGCCTTCATTAGTTTAACTGTTTTTTTTTTTTTTTCACACTCTCTCCCGCCTAGGCTAAAAGCTCTATATTGCTATTATTCATGCGCTTGTAATCCAAATTATTGCTAATGAAGTTCTATTTCTTGCATATATTATTTCCCATATGTCATTCATTGACAGTGATTATTTTTTTATAGGCATCGTGCGATCTATATAGCCGATCCCACCTAGTGGGATAAGGTTTGTTATTGTTGTTCTATAATAAGCAACCAATGTCATTATTGAAATTCGTGTCTTTAACCATTGTGATATGTATCTTTTGTTACATGACATTGGTATTTGTTTTGTTAATTCTTGTGAAAATCATTAAACCTTCAGCAAGAGTAAGGGATCAAAATACCCGGAAGGAAAAGGAACAATATTAACAAAATGTAATTAATAATGTAACAGTAGGTGTTTAAACAAATAAGAAAAGCATACTCAGAATAAGGAGGGTTGGAAGAGAGGAGAGGAAAAGGTAGATGTGGAAGTAAAAAAGTGATGGGTGGGATATTTATAGAGGATGGGTTGTAAGTTGTAGCTGTTTTGTAACTTTTGAAACGGCTTCTTGAGTGAATTTTTTTAAAAAAATAAATTGAATTTAGTGATCTGAAAAAATTATGCGTATAACATAAATTGTTGGAAATTTTAATCATTATCACTTTGTCTGAAAGAAGATATTAAAATAAATAGTTAGAAATAATTATAGAAAATTAAAATGTATAGTTGGTAATTAATTTGAAAAATGAATTTAAAATATGTGTGTGTGTGTGTGTGTGAGAAAGACATAGCTAGCAATAGCTAAGTTATAATCTCGTTTAAGGAGGAAATTTTCAAAATTCGCTGGTTATGAGGGGAAAAGAGAGAAAATCTTTTTAAAAAAATTTCTCGCCTCCTAAAAATTTAGCCACCTAACCAAAAAAAAAACTTGGTTGCCTCTGTCACTTCGCGTCTCGTCCCTCATTTCTGCCTTCACACTTTGCCTCTCAGTCTCTTAGGAGGTGTTTGAATAGAATGAAATCATAATTTGAAGAATAATTTCTGAGAAAAAAATTAATTTTTAGAATAATTTTTGAAAAAATAGATTTTATGAAAAAAAATTCTGATAAAATAAGAGTGTCTAGATAATTATTATTAGAAACACTTTTTCTACGTGTAGAAGTTAATATGATAATTACAGAAAAGATAGATTTTATAATGTATTTTTATTTGAAGTAATAAATTTGTTTATAATATATTTTTTTCCACCATAATAAATAATATATAAAAAATGTATTTAGTAAATAATTAATATATGTATATGTATTTATAAAATATAAGATTAAAAACGTTTTTAGAGAAATGATTTTTTTTGGCCAGCAAAAAAAATGTTATCTTATCTTAAAGATTTTAAACATGAAATTTCATAATATTTTTTCACAATTAGTTTTTTTAACAATATACTATCTTTTTAATCTAAGAGCTATTTTGATATTCAATTTGGTATATAAAATGTCATTTCATTTTATTTCTCATATCTATTATTTTTTTAAAGTAGTCTTTGTAGTAGTTACACATGTTAAATATTTTATCAAATAGTACTTTTAGCAAATACACATGATTAGAAAGGGTATTTTAGGAAAAATAATACCTATTTATTACAAATATCTAACTTAACTAATTTTTTTAATCTACTCAAATTAGTCAAAAAACTCTTATATTAAGGACTGAAAAT